GGTGAGTTTTCTTTCTGCAGAGTCCAAGCCCTCAGATTAGTTCCATAAGGTTGGGTGTATCTGTATGAGTCTCTGTATGGTTATAAAGGGACTCATCAAAACATTAAGGTATTGCCTGCCTATAAGCCCAAAGCTGAACATCCATTTGAGGGGAGCCCAAACCACAGGATGAAGTCTAATGGACTTCAGAACTCTGTGGAAAACTGGGACCCATAAGAGGGGGAAGATGATGAGTTACAATGTGTCCTTTGTCTTTTTTGTATTATGAGTGCTAGTCCACCTTCTATGCATTCTGCAGAGTGAAATAAAGTCTGTACTCAACCCAATAAATGCATTTGTTAGCTTGAGTGGTTATACAGAAGCTGGAGACACCTTTACACCTTTTGCCCCTTGTGGAAGCTTAGACATAAGTGTGTTGAGATTTTCTTAAACTCTGGGTGTGGCATAATGTGCCAAAGATTTAGTGATGTTATTCAGACGTTCCAAGATTAAACCTACTCTTTGTAATCTCTGACCTTGGAAATTCCTGACCTCTTATCAAGTGGAACTCATCAACATTTAGTTTGGGAACCACTGCCCTAGACTTTAGCTTGGGCAATATCTAGTAATTCTCTCTCTCCTGGCAGATATTTCCTCTGCCCATGATATATACATATACTGAGTCAACATAGATATCAAATGACCACCACAATGTGTTTTGACACATGATATGATATTTCATATGTGTATGTCTTGTCTTCTCAAAAACACTCTAAACTCCTCCTTTAAGGGCAAGTATCTCCTTTTGTGCATCTCCCTTAAATTCCCTTCTTCCCCCTTTTACCCAAGTATCTAAAAAAATTAAACAAAAAATTCTAACAACTATGGTTGCCTAAAAATAGAATGGGTGATCTCATGAGCTGATTCACAAGAGGTATTCCAGCAAAGGCTATGTGACCAGAATTCCTGCATTGGGTAGGAGGTTAAAGTAAAGGATGTTTAAAGGTTCTTTTCAATTCTATTACATATTTGTTTAATATATTTCCTGAACTGAATCTTTTTATAGGCTTTGGACCACTACCCTAGAAATGGGTAGGAAGGCAGAAAAAAAGATACTTATCCTTTTTTTTTTTTTTTTAGGCAATTGAGGTTAAGTGATTTGCCCAGGGTCACATAGCTAGTAATCCACTGCACCAACTAGTTGCCCCAAAAGATACTTTTCTTTTGGATCACTAATAGTTACAGATGCTTATAAAGACTAGGACTACATAAAGGTAATAGCCCAGGACTTCCGGGAGCCAAGATGGCAGAGTAAGCAGTAAGTCTCTCCCACCCTCCCTTACTGACCTTGAAATACCAAAGAAATACCACCCCAGGAAAAATCCGGGAACAGTGGAGCCAGCAGAAGTTCAGGGGGCAGCAGTCTTTTAGCTTGTGAGGTCAGGGGGAGGGATTAATGGGAAAGTTCCTCCTTGCTATGACTAAAGGGGACCAGTACAGGATGGGAGGCTTCCCGGCAAATCCCACTTCAGCAAACCAGCAGGAGAGCCTGAGGCCTAGGGTGATGGAGTAGGCATAGCCAGGGGAACCGGCAGACGCCAGTGTGGAGAATCATGTGCACCGCTGGACAGTCATCCACCAGCCACTGAAACCACCCATGTTGTAGTGCAGCCCTGGGTGAGGCGACCTCCAGCAGCAAGACCACCCCCATACTGTGAGCTTCAGTGTAACTCCAGTGAAACGCAGAAAAATCCCACCCAGCCTTTGCACACATGAGCCACTAACATCAGCTCCAGCTCAGCACCAGGTAAGCTACCAGACACCTATAGCCTCTAGCTGCCAGCACTTGAGACCCCCGCACATAAAGCCAGTAACCAAGCTCCTAGCCCCCAGCACAAAAGGTGTGGGACGGTGGCCCCTGTGCCCCAGAAGCAGAGATTAACTTTAAAAGCCAGGAAAAGGGGCAGTTAGATTGTGAAGTAGATAGAGCTGGGCCTCGGAATCAGGAGGACCTGAGTTCAAATCTGCCCTCGGACCAAATACTTGACATTTACTAGCTGTGGGACCCTGGGCAAGTCACTTAACCCCAATTGCCTAAAAAAAAAAAAAAAAAAAAAACCCAGGAAAAAGACGAACACCATAAGCAAAAAGCAACAAAGAAAAACAAAGAATATGGATTCTTACTATGGGGATAGGGAAGATCAAAACACATATTCAGAAGATGATAGCATTGTCAATATACCCACATCCAAAACCTCAAAGGGGAATATGAAGTGGTCTCAAGCCTAAAAAACCTTCTTGGAAGAACTCAAGAAGGATTTTAAAAGTCAAATAAGAGAAGTAGAAAAAAAAATTGAACAATTCCTTTAAAAATACAATTGACAAAATGGAAAAAAGTACACTGAAGAAAACAACTCCTTATAGAATTGGCAAAATGGAAAAGGAGGTATAAAAGCTAACTGAAGAAAACAATTCATTAAAAATTAGAATTGGGCAATGACTCTGAGACAGCAAGAATCAGTCAAACAAAATCAAAAGAATGAAATAATAGAAGAAAATGCAAAGTACTTCATTGGAAAAACAACTGATCTTGAAAAATAGACCCAGGAGAGATAATTTAAGAAAAATTGAAAAAAAAAATTGTTGGTCTACCTGAAAGCCATGATCAGAAAAAGAGCCTGGACAGCATCTTTCAAGAAATCATCAAAAAAACTGCCCTGAGGTCCTAGAACCAGAGGGTAAAAAGTCATCAAAAGAATCCACCAATCACCTCCTGAAAGAGATCCCAAATTGAAAATGCCAAGGAGTATAGTAGCCAAATTCCAGAATTATCAGGTCAATGAGAAAATACTGCAAGCAACCAGAAAGAAACAATTCAAATATTGTGGAACCACTGTCAGGATTACGCAGGACCTTGCAGCTTTTACATTAAAAGATCAGAGGGCTTGGAATATGATATTCCATAAGGCAAAGGAGTTTGGATTATAACCATGGATCAACTATCCAGCGAAAATGAGCATAATCTTTCAGGGGAGGAGATGGACATTCAACAAAATAGGGGACTTCCAAACCTTCCTGATGAAAAGACCAGAGCTCAATGGAAAATTTGATCTTCAAACACAAGACTCAAGAGAGGCATAAAAAAAGGTAAACAGGAAAGAAAAAAAAAATGTTATTCAATAAGCGGAAACTGTTTACATCCCTGCATGGGAAGATGATACTTGTAACTTTTGGGAACTGTATCTTTATTATGACATTTAGAAGGGATATATATAAACAGAGGGTGTGGGTATGAAAAGGTAATAATCCAGGCATAGTATCTTCCATCTTTACTCTGAAATTACATATCAAAAGCCTAAGAGGAGCTTAGCAGCTTTCAGTGTTCCCACTTTAGAAGGTTATAAGTATTTTGAAGAGAAACAAGAAATAAGCGAGGAGACTGGGGCAAGAGAGCCAAGGGTTGAGACAGAAAATGATAATGGCTGAGACGTGGTCCTGATATCCGGTTCCAAGGTGGCTGTACAGGGAAGCAATAACACTCCCTACAATGCAATGAGTATCTTCTGCTGGCACTCTGTCTTGCTGTGAGTGCCACTGGCCGACAGTACTCTACAGAGAAATCCTGCATACCAACACTGCAGTTTCCAGTGCTACATTCACATCTTGCTGTGAATGAATTGATATATGTAGACCCTGGCACGTCGCAGAGGTGGCAGATTAAACCTACAATGGCTCATCAAAAACCAAGACCAGTGATTCTCCCCAGGAAACTCTCAGTAAGAGGGGTAGCCCTGGGAAATGAGTGGTGAGAGTGTTGTTGCTTAATTATTCATTATTTGCTGCGCATTCTAACTTTAAGTAAATGTCCTTTGCCTTACTATGATATCACACAATTTATTGTGACAGCAGAAATGAGGGCTTACGAGCTGTGGATGGAAATAGAAAATTTCCCCTTGAATACTATGGAACCATTTGTAGTCAACATTAGAGGGCCTGTGAGCTACAAATAGTTTTGGAACAGGGTTAGTAGTTTATGGACAAGTTATGTTCATCGAGCATACATTATGAGCAATGTCTCATATTCCTTCCCCAGCTTTCAATACATTATAGTGACAATAGGCACAATTTCCCCAGCTAAGCCTGTTCCTTTAAGGCAGTGGGGAGAGACTTGGCAAAGGGTTCCCTTACTTTGGTAGGGACAGGAATTTGGGAAGAGGCCTTTAGCAGGATAGGGAGAGTATAGTGAGAAGGAAAAGGTAGTGATGGGGTTGAGATCTGAGCCCCAGAAAGGAAAAACCCTGGACTTTCCCACATGGCCAAATCTCTGGTGTTGGCCTGAGGCTACAATCCCATCAACTAGCCTTTCATTGTGGACCTCTCTATGGCCCCAGGTCATTTCTCCATTCTCCCTTGGCCATGTGGTCCAGGTCCCTGGAATTCTATTGCCTCATAGACTACTTGGCCACTCCTAGGTCCCTCCTATAGTCTTTCTGTATATAAGATCCATCTTGTCTCCATTAAGATGCTTAGATTCTTATAATCTAGCCACTGCTCAGATTCCTAAAATCTATCCACTGCTTAGATCCTTATAATCTAGCCACTGCTTACTCATGTTCAGACTCCTTAAGAGTCTGCCCAAAATTACGGATGTTCTAATAAATCTTGTCTTTGGCTGAAAGAAGGCTTGGGTGAAATTCTTTCGGGCAGTGTTGTGATATTGGGGTCCCAGGACCCCCAAACTCCTCAATCGCATCAGTAGGATTTAGTTAGGACTAGGATTAGGAATACAAAGGCAGTTGACTCCGGTGTGTCCATACTAAATTCTTTTTTTTTTTCCTTCCTTACTAAATTCTTCAACTGACTCTGTGCTTTTTGGTGGCCATTTGACACAAAGAGGGGCAGAGGAGGAACTTTCAGATACATTTATTCAAACGTTTTTTGTCTGGCACCCTCCCCTTCCAACTAATGCTTTCTCCATCTTTCTCCTGGTCTCTGACATCATTGCAGCTATCAGTGGTTCTTTAGTTGTCCTTCAAGTTTATCAATGCCTTAACTACAAAAGAATAAATTGTGAGAATGGAGTTCTCTAGTCATCCCGAATAGCATAAGCCCTTAGTGAGGACTGCATTTGTTGGGTTTTTGGTCCCCATATCAAAGTTGCCTTAAGTTGTATGTATGTGTGGTTCCACATTTTTATGTTTCTCAACACAACTGAAGCTAATCCTGGATCCGGCTTTTAAAGTCTATCTCAAGTTAATATCCAGGAATTAGAGAGGCCAGTTTACTACCCCCTCTTCTCTCCAACAAATTATCCAAGTTCTTTAGAGCATGATAGAGCTAGAAGAGTTGTGGAAGAGTGGAGGCAAAATGGTACGCAAAACTTTGAAGTACTTAAAGTTTGGCAGCCTCTCATTGTGGGTGAATCCTTAGTCTTGGTGGGCCTGGTGTCCTTATGCAGTCTCTGGCATTATGATCTGCTCCTGCAGCCCCACAACTTCTCCATATTCTCTTGTTCTCCTTCGGGTTGTATAGAAACTAAATGACCTTGGTTCTCCCTCCCTACTTTACTGCTCAGAGCGTGGCCCAAATTCTCTACTATGTCCCAATATGGGCACTTTCCCTCTGAGGTTCTCCCATCTAGACTAAGCTGTCTTAGTGATATTCCCTCATATTCTCAAATCCTGTTATTCTCTTCCCTAACCCTGCTCTGGTCCCAACCTTGATCTGAGATTTTGCTTCTTGATTGCTGGAATGGAATCTGGAAAACTGAACTGCCAGAAGAGAGCCATTTTGTAAGCCATCAACTGAGCTCAGTTAATTTCTATACTTAGTCTTTGTATTGATTTCTGTGTAACATTCATCTGCTTTGAACCTAAAAAAATTTTTAGGTAACAGTGGTCCTTCAAACTATTTTCTTAAGCATCTCTTGGTCAGGCAATTGTTTCTGTCCCTCAGATGCTTCCTACCTGCAAATTCTTGCAGCTGTTTCCGTTCTTCTATGTTGTATTGAAGCTTTTCTAGCAATTCAAAGTATCGAAAGAGTGAATCTCGGGGCCAAACCACCCGCTCATCTTGGTCCATTTCCATCAGCCCATGGAGATTCTGGTGCACATGAGTCTCCCAGTCCACTAGGCCTGGGCTATCAGAGCTCACTGTGGGGAAGAGCTGTTTTTCAGAAGCATGTCTGGAGTCAGGGATGGGTTAAATATAAGAGGAGATAACCAAAAGTTGTTAGAGGGGAGAATGGGGGAATGTGAGAGGCAAAAGGGCATAACACTAAAGTGTCAGAGCCCACATGGGAAGATGGGAAAAACTCAGAAAGAAAGTGCTGGAATATTTGGGTCTGAATGGAAGACAGTTCAGCTCACATCGGTATTCTTGCGGAGTTGATAAGTCTTTTGGGACAGATGTCTTCACTAAGTTTTCAGATTGAGACATGTCACCTGTTAACGATGATGCTGAATGATAAGAAGTCTGGGGGGTGATGTGGCCACTACTGTGGAGAAAGGTGACTTTTATTTCTTTAGCTATGTCCAGAGAGTATGACTTCTGGTATATTTCAACTTCTTGAGCCCAGCTCTAGACCCTGTAGCTCAGGTTTTAGGCCATGGGTAGGGTAGGGTCCAAAATGTTCATAGAACTCAGGCCTGAGCACTTAGAATTTTAGTTGGTCAATATCAGCCTATATCTCAATTTCATAGTCATATCCTTGTCCCTCAGCCAGTGTATGCCTTCTAAACACATATCCATCCACACATCTACCATCCCCATTCATGTTCCCAAGTCTTGATCTCCCATCTCCACAGTCCTACCATTCCCCACTATCCCCACAAACATACTTTCTCCCCTGAACTCCATTTCTATTTTCCATTCCCCAATCTTGTTCCCTCTGCCCCAACGCTTAGCTTTGGCTGTCTACTGCCCCATTCTTTATCATTCTTTATCTCTGCCTCCACTCATTAATGCATACTCCTTACCTAGAACTTCTGACCTTGGCTTTTTCTCCATCTTTTTGGTTAAGTCTCCTGTTGATCAGAGAACAGAGAGTGAAGGGAATTGCACTGGAGTCTGTTAGAAAACCAAGAGGGCAGAAAGGAAAAAGAGAGGAATAGAACATGGAATTAAGGCCAGAAAATGGGAAGGGGGGGAAGATATGGGTAAAGATGGTAGGAAAGGAACAGAATAAGCTTAGGTGAAGAGCAGGGATGGATTCTGTGCCTAGGTACTTCTTATTGGAAAATCTGGGGATTGAGGATTGGGCAGGAGACAGTAGATCACGAGGAGGAGAAAAGGTGGCTTGACTTGAAGTTGGAAGAAGGAGGTAGGTCAGGGGATCCTTCAGAGGCCAAAGATGGCTTTGAGAACAGGGAGGGAAGGTGTTAGACCTTTTGATGATTTGGCGCTTGAATATGCTGGCTTTGTGCTGCATCTCTGAATGTGTTGCCTCCTCACTGAGCTCATTCCTGATTGCCTGGAAATTAGTAACTGCCACAAAGAGTCATGAAGGAATTGGGTTGGGTGAATGCTGAGACAGACTAAGAAAGGCCAGGGGACGCTGGAGGACCAAAGGAAACATTCCTTCCAGGCCTAGCTCCTACCTCCCACATCTAGTTTACTTATACTCTCAATCACACAACACTGATTCTATCCTTCTCTCCCTCCCAAGTTACTCTTTTCCCCATGCTTCTCTGACCTCATAGGTCCCCCACTCCACTCTAGCCCTTGCTCACCCATCATAGCTACTATGATGTTGCGGAAGATGATGGAGCCAAGCAATAGCCAGAGGATAACATATAGACTACTGAATGCTTTACTCAGGGCAGGAACTCTCCAGGCATCCTGAAGCAGTGCATACCAGTGATCCAGGGTGAAGAGGATGAACACTGTCACCAGGGAGTTGGGCACATCCCTACAGAAAAGAATAAAATGGGAAATAGAAAAGAATTGAATAAGGAATAGAGACAAGAAACTAGATTTCTCAAGAAAAAAGCCAGGTGCTGAGTCATGCTTACTATTGAAACAACATTTCTGACTCTTATTTGTGGTCTACTATGATTTTCACCTCCTTTTCTGTCCTATTTTAATTTACTTCTTTAATCATTCTTCAGTTTGTATTTGTATGGTTACACTTTCTCCTCTAAGTGAATAATCCAGCTCTCAGCCTATTTAACTTTATCTTATTCCTCTCACTTGCCAAATTGGCTTTTAATTGTAGTCTTATTCTCCACTGGTGGCGGTGGTTGTTTTTCAGTCGTTTCAGTTGTGTCCAACTCTTTGTGACCCAATTTGGGGGTTTTCTCGGCAAAAATACTGGAGTGGTTTGCCATTTCCTTCTCTAGCTCATCTGACAGATGAGGAACTGAGGTTAAATGACTTGTCCAGGGTCTAAGTAATGTTCTGAGGCCAGATTTGAACTAAGGAAGATAAGTCTTCCTGATTCTAAGCCCAGTGCTAAGCCCATTGGGCCACCCAGCAGTCCATTCTCAGTTGTGGACCCTATCTAATATACCACCTGCAAAAAAAACCTGCTTTCCCTTTATCTTCTCAGTATGTGAATAGATACGTATATCAAACACGTATCAGTAATAGGTCTATCATGTTTGCAAATAACCCCATCACTAAGAAGTTGCAAAAGGTCTCACAAATATGACTCTTCCCCATCTCATTTCCCTTTTGACTCTTTTTAACTTTCTGAAAATACTAACGCTGAATAAAATGAGACTTTGAATCTTAATGATAATAGGAACTGAGACCCATATAATGCTTTTAAAAGTTGCATTTTGCTTTACATGGACTATTTCATTTAAATATTAATTATTAATTATTGATTTATTAAATATATTTAAAGTTATTACTTAATAATTTAGAAAAGGGCAGCTGGTGATGCAGTGGATAGAGCGCTATGCCTGGAGTCAGGAAGACCCATCTTCCTAAGTTTAAATTTGGCCTCAGACCTTGTGTGACCCTGGGCAAGTCACTTAACCCTGTTTGCCTCAGTTTCCTCATCTGCAAAATAAACAGGAGAAGGAAATGGCAAACCACTCCAGTATCTTTGCCAAGAAAACCCTAAAAGGGATCATGGAGAGTTGGACACAACTGAAAAATGAATGAACAACAACTTAGAAGTAATTACTAGGGACACCAAGAAGAACCTTACTAGGAGCTTACTGGATCAAACCATGACTACTTTCTGACAAGCCTAATGTCTTATACATAACGCTGTAAATAATTAAAATCAAGATAACTTTCCCTGGATCTAAATGGAGCATCTATTGGCAATCAGGGAACATCTAAGCATCTTCACAGAGGATAACTGAATATAACTGAAGATGTCAAGAAGTTTGCTTGGTGCATTTTATGTGATATGTAATCCCTATATCTACAGAGTGAAAGTAATGATTAGAATTGTTTTTCTCTAGAAGCCTAGAAGTAGACCTTATGACAATGTTTGATAGCTATGGATGTCTGGGGAATATATACATGTATGCAACTTAACATCCTAGACTATACCTGGAGTGAATATTGTTCCCTAACCTTATAAAGAGGTCTTTGGGAGGTCTTTCTGTTCTCAAGATCACAATCAATACCATTTGTTATATTCTCCAATCTTCCCCTACCCACCTTATTATGTTCTCCAGGTTCTTATGACTATGATCCCAGACTTCACCTCAATTTTTATTTGAGTTCTGCTCCCTAGGCCCACACCAAGTTCCCTTTACCTCCTCCAGGTTTGCCCCAGTCCTGCCTACGTGAAGTACATCTGGTATTCCAAGTCCTGGATGTCTGAACGGCTGTAACTCTCAAAGAAGTAGACACCAGTCAGAGCGAAAATGTAGAAGAAAATAAGTAACAGCACCAGGAGGAAGGTCATGGTCTGGAGGCCATAATCAAAGGATAATTGAATTAGGCCAGACTGCTTTCTCTCAACAACCTAACCCAGTCTAGCCCAGGTATTTGACATTATAACCCTCACTCCCATTCATCCCCAAATTACTATAACCCAATCACCAATTCACTGCCATCCAATAAACTATTGGCCATTTGGGTTGTTCATCTCCTACACTTTCCTCTGCTTCATATTTGGCTCCAACTTCCCACCTTACCCTTTCCTTGATTGCTGCAGTTACCTTAAGAGCCCTGACGAGGGCGAGGATGATGACTCGAATTTGGCGGAACCGTGCAAAGAGTTTGAGTGACCTCAGCACCCGGCAGATACGTAACAACTGCAGCCACACTGATTCACCTGTGACCCCTACTAGCACCACTATCTCAGGAAGCAAAGACTGTGGGCACCACACAAAGTACTGATATTAGATAATCTTACCCATGTATTACCTTTCTGACTCTGTTCCCTCATCCTCATCCTCCCCACCCTTCCACCCCCAACCATTGACTGCCATTTCTAGGGCATGGCCTGCCCACCTCTCAGTTTTCAGAGGAGTAGGAAAGTTGAGAGAAGCAGCAAAGCTTCCAAGTTTCTTTTCTTTGTACATAACCTAAATATAACCTCATATAATCTGCCCCAATCCATCATCCACTCTAGATTCTTGTAGGCTGCTTCCTATATTCCTAGGCTCACCTTTGATCATCCCCTTTTAATCTTACCAGTGTGGTGACAAAGAAGTCAAAGAGATTCCAGGCACTTTTCCAGAAGAGGAAGAAATTGTACAACCAGAAGAGAACAATCTCCAGTATGAAGATAAACAAGATGAACCAAGATCCCACCTCTAGAGCCATCATTATTGGCAACATTCTGACATTTGTAGTATTCACTAACTCTATATGAAAGAGGCAAGTAGCAAGGGTCAAGGGGAAGGATGTAAAAAGGGTTTGTCAAATGACTTAAAGAATGCACAGATGTCATATAAACCAAACTTTTTGTCAATGTTGTCCCATTTTCCTTAGGCAGCTAGGTGGCACTGTGGATATAGTTGTTGGTGCTCTAACTAGCTCAGACACTAGCTATGACCTTGGAAAGTCACTTAAACTCTTTCAGCTTCAGGTTCCTCATCTATAAAATGGGGATGATAATAGTACCTACCTCCCAGGGCTGTTGTGAGGATCAAATGAGATAATTACAAAGCACTTAGTACAGTATCTGGCACATCGTAAGTGTTACATAAATGTTAGCTGTTATTATTACCCGCCCCCCCATTCTTCCAATTTGCAATATTGCTAGTGACACATTGACAGGGGAAGGCACAGATCACTGCCACTAGCTACTACCCCTTTCCTGATTGATAGACAGTTTTTAAAGATAAAAGGAAACTGAAGTCATCTAATTCAGCTTCATTTTATAGATGAGAAAATTGAAGCCTGGAGAAATTGATTGACTTGCCTAAGATTACATAGGGGAGGTAGTATGGTGCAAAAAAAAAAAAAGAAAAAACCCCCACCAGATTTGGGTTCAAGAATCTCTACTATTTGCTGTGTCATTAAATAAGTCATTTTATATTTCTGAGTCTCAGTTTTCTAATTTGTAAACTGAGGGGCTTGAAATCTTCGATATCTTCCAGTTCAACTCACTCATCTTATAGATAAGGAAACTGAGACTTAGAAAATCCCTTAACCTCATCTTATCTGTAAAATGATAATAATACTTGCATTAATGGGCTTGTTTTGAGGCAAAAGCTTGGAAAACTTTAAAGTATTATCAAAATGTAAACCATAATTCAGATATTGAAACATCAAATCTTGATCCAAAATCTTGGGAATTCTTCAGCTTAATTAGCAAGTCATAAAGACACTAGGTAATGAATACAGCTATGTTCTAGAAAAATCCACACTGAACTATAGATTAGAACACTTAGTAATCAGTGAAGTTTGAAAGTGAAGGTTGAAAGTTGTGTTTATGTTTGAAAGTTGGACTTTATTTAGGGGTAGTTATCTTGAGGAGTGAGTGGTAGAGTTAGACTACTTCCTTCTACTAAACAGGCCAGGTAGTTCATATGCTCTCAGACCATTAGAATTTCCAGGGATAGATGACTATCTCCTGCTCCCTTTCAATTTTAGAAAGTATAAAGAATTCAGATTATCTCACAGAACACTAAACAAATAATAGATTGGCTTCTAAGACTATCAGCTACTCAGTCAATAAGCATTTATGAAACACCTGCTATGTGCCAGCACTGTGTTAAGCTTTAAGGATACAAATAAAGGCAAAAGACAATCCCTGCCGTCAAGGAGCTCACAATCTAATGGAGTGACATGCAAACAACTATGTACAAACAAGCTATGTACAGGATTAATAGGAAATAATCTATAGAGGGAAAGCACTGAAATTAAGAGGGATTGGGGAATGCTTCCTGTAGGTGAAATTTTAGTTGGGACTTGAAGGAAGTCAGGGAAGTCAGGACGCAGAGATGTAGAGGGACAGCATTCCAGGCATGTGGGAACCACCAGAGAAATGAGAGTTGGAGTAGCTAGCTTGTTTGAGGCACTGCAATGAGGCCAGTGTCATGAGATTGAAAAGTATGAGTTGAGGTATAAAGTGTAAGAAGACTGGAAGGGGCGGGGGGAGGGGCACTAGATTATGAAGAGCTTTGAATATCAGAGAATTTTATATTTGATCTTAGAGGCAATAGGGAGCCCAACTGTGATGTGAAAAGATCATAGCACATCACTATTTATAGATATGTTCTAATAATAACTCTCAGTAATACTCTTTGCATTTATATGTTTTAAGGTTTATGAAGTTGTTGGAGGATTTTTTTGTTTGTTTTTATCACAACAGTCTTGGGAGGTAAATATTATTATCGGCATTTTACAGATGAGGAAATTGAAGTTCAGGGAGATTTAATGACTGGTCCCTGGATTATACAGTATTGGAGATGGCATTTAAACTCAGGTCTTTGGACTCTAAAAATCAGTCTTCTTTCCCTTATGCCATAAAGTGCAATTTGCAAATTTACTTATTAAAATCCTGCCTATATTTTACATTTTGATGGATGGTTATTGGCTTAAATAAGACCCTACAAGTGTGAAAATAACGATTTTACAAAACTTCCCACCGACTAGTGAAATTCATAAAAACTTAAGGAATTCCATTATTGATCAGATCAACAATATAACCCACTCTGAATTTTGTTACTGATGGTGATACCAAGAGAATTTTTTTGTGGAGGGTATTCTTTATGATATCACCTCAAAGGGTTAGGGATGTGTACCAAACACCTTCAGTTTCCTCATATAATTCATTATATAGCCATCATACATTGATTTATCTAAACTCATCTTAAACCCAGGTTCAGCCTGTATCACATTTTATTAGAAGAGCTACTTAAGTTTACTACTTCTTGCGTGAAGTTATGTTTCCTTTGTAAGAGATGCTCCCCCTTTCTGGATTCAGTGACCATATCTATGTGTACCCTATTTGTAGCCTTTATGATTTAAAAACCCCATTCTGAGGTGTTTTTGTGGCATGGAAGAGATCTTGGGTCCTCAAAGGCTATGGCAGTAGGCCATAAGTTCTATCATGTACATGTTGTTTCCCCACACTAGTCAGCCCCTTGAGGATAAGGACTGTTTTCTTTTTGTTTCTCTAGTCTCAGGGCCTGCCATTTAATAGGCACTAACTGAATGCTGGGAAGGTAAATACAGTTTAAGCAACCATCTCTGCCTTAAAAGTACCAGTCTAGGTAACTACAGATACATTCAGCACCTACTGATGAATTATTTCATCATTAAGTATTTATTAAGCACCTACTACATCCTAGGCACTGTGCTAAATGCTGGGTACTCAAAAAGAGGCAAAAGACAGTTCCTAATCTCAAAGAGCTCACAATTGAATGGCATCATATGAAACAAAGGAAAATATAAAACGTCCCTCAGTCCTGTATGGTCCACTTTTGTTTCTGCAGTGACAGTGAATCCTTTGCCAAGCCAAGAGCTTTGTCAGCCAAGAGAAATGCCAATGGCTGAGAGGAGAAAAAAAAGAAGAGGGTGCTAAAAATCACACAGTTTCTAGACTGTCTACAAACATTAATATAACTGTTGGTAATTTTCATGTAAGATCCTCATCCAGTGACCAATGAATTAGTGGACATATATTACTGGAGGAACAGAACAATGTCCACCTTAGCATTCTTAATATAAATGAAAACAAAAGATGAAAGGAAATTGAAATTAAATGGAAGGTTTGCTCATACATCCTGCTTACAGAGTCAAATATAGAAAGTGGGTGAGTTAATTTTATTGTATGTCCAAAGACAACAAGAAACATTTCATGGAACATTTGATCATCTCACATTGAAGTACACATAATGAGCATTTGCAAAAAGACTACCATAAAAATAACTGTAGTTTATGTGTCAATTTCTATTACAGAGGAGGAAGAGAAATTCTACAAAAAACTTGATAAGGCTTTTAAATTAACATATACTTTAATTCTTATTAATTTCTACTCAAAAGTAAGCACAAGAGAAGATAGTGAAAAATATGGTGGAAAATGTGGTTCAGGAATAAGACAGAAGAGAAGCCAAAGGCTTACATATTCCATAGAAGTCTCATATCTACATATTGGTTAAAAAAAAACAAAAACTTTCTTTGAGAAGAGAATCAGGAGGTGCTAGACATAGGTAAGTATCAAATAACATCACAAAAAATGAAAGTGATTATATTTTAACTGAAAGTAAAAAACTGGTTATTGTTGTGGGAATTATTTCTGAATTACCAGTCTATGTAGTTAGACCAATGATGTGTTATAGCAAAGATCAAAATCAATATCAAACTAGATGAATAAAAATGAGATGATAGCATGACCTTCAATTGAGCCAATTACAACCTGACCTATTTAAGCAAACTGTTGATGTTAAAAAAACAGGGAATGGTTAAAAAAACAAAGACCAGATACTGACACAGACTACCATCATTGACTGAGGAAGTTTAATCGATGTAATCACCATAATGAGGCCAAAAGAACCTATAAACCACATTAACCTGCAAATACTTGAACTCCTTGCCAAGCAAAGAGATTTATCAGCCAAGAGAAATGCCAGTTTAGAACACAAACCTGCTTTCAAAATCTTACAGAGGAGGATAGTGGAAGATTATAAGCTATATTCCTTCATAAAACAAGAAAAAACAGTAGGTGGAAAAACAAGTTTGCAGAAAGTTTGGTGAATGATCCAACTAATTAAAATTATCCTGAGGGTATTTAATGAAGAAACTTTAAGAAGGAAAACAAACAGACAAAAATTGAAGAAGATACACAAGGAAGGGTGTGATAGAGCTAGCTTGTATTGGTCCTTTAGAGCTGATTGTTAAATTTTCAGTGTGTGTTTATGTTCAGAAATCAACAAATGCTACAAATCAGAATTTAATTTATTGTTCTGTAATTGTCTTGTCCTAAGAAAGTGGTGGAGAAAATACAAATAACTAAGATTAAATTTGAACTTGTGCATCCCCCCAGGGAGCCTGTTAAACATGTACCAATACCACAAACTCTTTTCACTATGAATGACAATAGAGCCACCATTTTTGGACCCCAACATCGAAGTCCTAAATGTACTGAATAAAGAAGTAGAAATAGCATTGAAGAAAATAAAGATGATTACAGATGGATTATCCTGAGTGGACACAGTTGGAATCTATGCTAGAGGCAATACTATATACTCAACTGAAACTATCCTCTCCACTATCCTCAGTGACCTAAATGGTAAATCCAAATTTTTTTTTTCAGTCTTTATTTTCATTTGACCTCTTTTTAGCTTCTGACACTATCAACAACCCCTTCTTCCTGGGATACTTTTCTCCTCCCTTGTCTTCCATGAAATTCTCTCCACTGGTTCTCTTTTTACCTGCCTGACCTTCTGATTCTCTCTTTCTGAATCATATTCATCTCTTAATCAATAAACACATGTCCTCCAAGACCTTTTGATTTCCTCTCTCTATTCTTTGTTTTTGCATCAGCTCCCTGGGTTCAAAAATCATCTGTTCATTTGACTGCCAAACCTATATATCTAGCTCTAGTCTCTCTCCTGAACCACAGTCCTACATCCTGGATATCCCAACACCATCTCAAATTTTATATGTCCAAAACTGTTCCCCAAAAAGCTCACTCCTCCTCTAAACTTCCCTGTTTCTATTGAGGGCAATACCATCTTTCTAGTCACTAAGGATCACAACTTGTCATCATTGACTCTTCCCTCATTCATTACTCCTCATAACCTATCAATTACCTAGTCTTACTGATTCTACCTCTACATCATCTCTTGTATTTTGCCCCTTTTTCCTCCTTTTATGGCCATTACTTCTTAATTAGTCTCCTTGCCTCAAGTCTCCCCTTTCTCCAAACTATCCTATGCACACCTGCCTAGATCTGACTACATCATGTCTCCCTAGTCAGTCTTCAGTGACTTCCTATTGCCTGTAGAATAAACTATAAACTACTCAGTATGGCATTCAAACTTTTCACAATTTGACTCTCAATCATAATCTGGCTATCTTCCTAGGCTTGTTTTATGTTACTTCCCCTTTTTATATACTCTGTGATCCAAATTGGCATCTTAGCTATCTCCTATACCTGGAAAGCACGTCCTTCTCACTTCTGCCTCTTATTATCTCTTAACTTTTTTCTAGGGTCAGCTCAAGTGTCATCTCCAGCAGGAAGTCTTTCAGGAACTCTGATGTGCTTCTTCCCTCTTGCTCCCCCTCCTCCCACAACTGTTAGTGCTTTCTTTTCCTTCAAATTATATGGCACTTATCTGTTTATATGTTTTACTCAGCTGGGAATTGAGAACAGGAACTGATTCATTTTTGTCTTTGTTCTTGCAGCACTTTGCACAAAGTCCTGCACATAGTGTTCAATAAGTATTTGTGGAATTGAAGATAAGTGAGGAGATGGTGAGAGTACCTAAGCTGCCCTGGATGGGGTCAAGTCATCAGGCCTGGATAAATTACATTCCAGAACACTGAAAGAACTGGCAGATGTGATTACTGATCTGCTAACAGTGATCTCTGGATTATGTATGGAGTGATCAAAAAAAAAAATCATGAAGTATTAAAGACAGACAAATGTTGTCCTGATTTTCAAATAAGTGAAGCAGATACAGTCTGTAAGCTTCAGATTAATGAGCTTGAATTTTATTCCTAGTAAAAATCTAGGACTATTAGAGAGTTCTTTTATGAGCATTTGGATAACTCATCTTGTTTAATCAATAAGAGTTCAATTCAGACTAATCCCACTTTGTATTTTAACTGGAGGAGAGGGGGTCAATGGATTGAGAGATCAAGAGAATTTAGTAGATATAATAAAGCTGGATTTCAGCAACTCACCATATTTTTTGGACTAGTTGGAGAACTCTGGATTAGATAAAAGTAGAGTTAGGTAGAATCAGCATTTACTGAATGTAGAGTGATTTATCTTTAGTCCTTGGAATAGAACAGTTTGATATTTTTTCCCAGATCCTTTGATGAAGGAATAGATGGCATATTTATCAGATTTGCAGATGATATGAAGCTGAGAAGGATAACTAATATGCTGGATGACAAGAGTTAGGATCAAACTCAATAGACTGAATGTAATAGTATAAATTCAACAAGGATCAATGTAAACTCACATTTGGTTAAAATAATGAACTATACAAGTACATAATAGGTGTGTGCATGTGGCTAAACAAAGATCGTCTGATAAAGACCTAGAGATAAGCAAATTACACACTTATTATGAGTCAACACTAATTGAAGAAAAGAGCAGAGAGGTGGCACAGTAGGTAAAGTGCAGGCTCTGAAGTCAACATGACTTTTCTTCTGGAGTTTAAATCTGGCCTTAGATACTTAATAGCTGTGTGGTCCTGGGCAAATCATTTAATCCTGTTTGCCTCAGTTTCCTTATCTGGAAAATGAACTGGAGAAGAAAATTGCAAACCACTCCAGTATCTCTGCCAAGAAAACCCCAAATGGGATCACGAAGAGTTGGACATGATTGAAACTGACAAAATGGATCACATCCAGAGGGCAGCAATCTGGATGGATTGCCTCTGACTAAAGCTGGATGATCAGAAGCCATCTGGCTGAACCCTCCCATTCTAAAAAATGAGAAAACTGAGGCCTAAGAATGCTAAGTGACTTGTCCAAGGTCACACATAAGTTTAAATATAAGAGATTTAAACTTAAATTCTTTGACTCCAGACCCATTCTTTCCACTGTAGCATGCTTGGCCACGAAGAAATGGTTGAAGGGGCCAGAGATGTTTATCTTGGAGAATACTTAGCAGGATCAGGACACCCAACTATAAATATCTGAAGAGCTCCCAAATGGGATAAATGTTAGATTTGTTCACGGTCCCAGAGAGTAGAAGTAGGAGCAATAGTTTAACATTTGGAAGGGCAGATTTTGGCTCAATATAAGTTAGAACTTCCTTTAAGAATTGTCCCAAAGTAGAATGGGATCTATTTGAGAGATCTATTGGTTTTGATGTTCCTTGATCTTAGAACTATTTTTTTATTCTTTTGCTCTCATTCTTCAGTCACGTTTGGTTCTTTCCATTTGCAGTTTTCTTGGCAAAGATACACGAGTGGTTTTCCATTTCCTGCCATTTCTCTTCCTTCTGATTTATTAATTCTATATAAATTACCCTGCCTTTGTTTGGGTAATTATTCCAGACATATTTGTTAAAATTTAAATGTACTATATCATTCACTGATGGAGTCATAGCTTACAAAAATGTGAAAAGGTTAGTTCTAACAAATCAAATTATTATATTGATAGCAGTAGTATACCCATGAATTTGCTAAATTCATTTTTCTTTTTTCAGTTCGCAACAGGCTACCTATGCTTATGAAACACTGTACATTTTACTTTCCTAAGCCTTCCTGCCCTTCTCTTAAGGTCTCCGTGATTTTACTATTCTTTCTGTGTTCCCCATTCCAAGAAGCTACTTTATCTGTCCCACTCTAATACCAACTTGTTTCAAGAAATCCTAAACAAATTCAAGAGGAACTGTCTCCCAAGCACTCCTCTCCTCCAACTACTCCAGGGTCTCACCTATTTCAACCATGAGGAAAATGGTATTCAAAAAGATGAGGCAGTTGACAAAGTTTATGAAGATCCGTTCTGTTTACCATTGAGGAAAAAAAAATGTCCAAAGTAGAGCTGGGATATTGAGGTTTAGGGCAGGAATAAGGAGTATTGGAATCAGGTTGGTTTGGGCACTGGGGAAGCCAAGTCCATCATGTGTGTATGATGGAGGGATCTAGTATATAAGAGGTTAAAGGCTGGGCCAGGGAAGGAAGTTGGGTCCCATAGCCAAGGAGTGGGAATCAAAGATACCTTATAGTAGCCAAAAGGATACTTCTAAGGACCCAGCCAGCCCAAAGAGAAATGGGGGCCCATCGATTACAACGAACCCTGAGTCGACACTGCTGCCTCTGAGCAAAAAGGATTCGGTTATGACCAGGCCTGATACTGAAGCGGACCAGTTGATGTTGATCTCCCAGCATCAGTTTTCTTTGGCGGGCAGGATCTGTTGCGAGCATATTCAGGGGAAAGGGGGTAATGAGACTATGAAAAATCACACTCAGGATAGAGTGTCAAATCAGACAGTTTTTAGGCAGGTCTAAGGTCTTAAACTGAGGCAATGAGCTTATCATTTTACTCTTTATGGCAATAAGGAACTATCAAATTACTTGGAGTAAGAATATTGGCACTTAGCTTTTCTTATTAGATTGTTCATGAGTAGCAGTGCTCATTCTCTGAGTAATACATACAGCAGGTTCAGGTTTACAAAACCTTTAGTCCCTCTAGTGGTAACAACTATATCTATATCACATGAAATTGATTTCTGCCCCAAAGAAGCTTCATATCCCTGAAGTCTGGTCAAGAAACTGTATTAACCCAGTTACTTTACCAAGCTGGGTCCAATTTACCAAAATTAGGGCTCCCACACATACACCTTGACTGATTTCCAAGGTTCCCCCACTCTTAGATTCCCTTTCTGTCCATTTCGAAGTTTCAGGCTGTTTTGATAGGTTGTAGTCAGGAGCCCAGGGGGGATAAAGGCTGCTGACCAAGGAATTCTCGAAGGTTATGCCGCGGCACAGCTTGGCTCAAGCCCCGAAAATGATCGATGAGAGAAAAAGTGTCAATGAGTCTTGAACGCACAGCATCGGCTCTGGTCACTGCTGTTGGCCCAAAGTTCTCAGAAACCTCAGGCAATTCAGCTGACTGTGAGGGAAAAGAGGCATTAGGCAAGGGCAATGGCCCTGTTCAAAAAGAAAAAAAAAAAGGGATTGGGGAAAGGACGAACTGCATCCTGACGGAATGGGGGAAGATGGGAAAGTTTTTGCCCTCACTCCCAATCACCTTCATCTTTGTCCTTCAGATACTGCAGGATCCCCTACTTAGTGAATTGTCTAGCAGTAGCAGCTGAGGCACACTCAAAGTACCCAGTTTCACAGCAGTGGAGCTCTAAAACAGAAGACCAAAGATATAAGAAGGAATTCTCATAGCAATTGCCCAAGTAGGGTTGAGGAATCACTTGTATGATGACAATTTCAATCCAGAACTCTAGCACTGGTACCAGGCAAGAAGACAGAGGACAGGAAAACTGAGGAAGAATGATGGATGAAAGTAAAAAATGGAGAGACTGAGAGAGGGACGGAGAGAATATGCAGAGAGAGAAAAGTGAAAAGGGAGAGAAATGAACATAAGAAAAACAGAATGGTAGAGGCAGAGAAAGACAGAAGAGTGGAGAGACAGATAAGAGGTACAAAGGAAAACAGAGGAAAGAGGGAGATCTAGACACAGAGATGGAGACTGATAGAAGAAAAAAGGGAGAAAAGAGGGAAAGATAGGGAGAGGTGCAAAAGGTGAGGGTGGGGACAGAAGGTGAGAAAAGCAGAGAAGGTAAGACAAGAGGCAGAGAAGTGAAAGATAGAGAGTTGGGAGGAGAAAAGAGAGACCAGAGAGCCCTTAAGAGTAGTTTGCTTTTGCCTTTCTTTGTATCCCAAAAAACGCTTACCAAAGGGCCTAGGCACAGAGTAAGGTCCTTAATAAATGCTAGCTGCACCGAACTGAGAAGTGGCAGAGATCAAAGAGAAAAGGCAGAAATGGGGGGGGGGGGACATCTGAGAGAGGGAAAGGAGAGAGGAATGTCGAGAGAAGGGAAAGTGCAGGAAAATACAGGCAAGGATGGGAGAAAAAGGGGAGAGGAGGAAGAAAAGAAATAAGTTAGGATGAAAAGACAGACAAGGAGGGAAAGCAGAAGGGATGAGTGAGGTGGGAAGAGAGAGTCAGGTGGAAGAAAGAGACCAAGAAAGGTGAGAAAAGGAGAGGATGAGATGAGAGAAGGTATGGGAAGAAACACAATGGGGAGGGGGTCAGAAGAGGGGAAAGCACGGGAATGCCTGCGAGCAGAGGAGGATCCTATGCTGCCAGGGCTTATGAACTGCAGGGTTCCCGCGCCTGGATCACTTCCTGATACTGAACTTCTCAATGGCTCAAACTCTCCTCCCTCAGTCCCCACTTCCTGCTCCGACTCAGAGCCAGGCTCTCTGCGGCCCACTGTTCTCCGACTTCATTCCAAGGCTTTCTCTTTCCACTCAACCTTCATCAGCCCGGAACTCTTTCCTAGATCTTCCTGCCCCCCAACCAGACCCCGCTCCCAGACTCCGCTCTCAGACCCAGACGAGTACCCCTCCTCCCCAAATCCCCGCGCAGCCGCAGGCCTGCCTCCGCGCCGTTTCGCCCCGCCCCTACTCCTTGTCCCCTCCTCCAAGCCCCGCCCCCTCCCTCTCGCCCATTCGGCGGTTACCAGGTTGCCCCAGCCTGCTCAAGCCCAAGCGATCCCAGCCAATCCAGAGCTGCCACACTGCGGCACGGGCGCCGGGTGGGGGTTGGGACTTCCGACTGCCGGGGCGGCTGGTTTCGGACAGCGCGAGGCTGAGGGGGCACTTCACGCGAGTTGCCTCCCGCACTGCCGCCGAGACAACGCCTGGAGCGGTCCTACCCGCCTCCCCCCGCCCCCGTCCTTTCCTGCCTTGACCCCGCTCGCCTATTCGGCTCGCCGCCATGGCCATGCGCCGCCGCCTCGCTCTGCTCCCGGGTCTGGCGCTGCTCCTGGCAGCGGCCTGCCTGGCCGCTGACGCCACCTCCGATGTGCTGGAGCTCACGGACGACAACTTCGAGCGGCGCGTGGCGGATACGGGCAGCGCCGGCCTCATGCTGGTGGAGTTCTTCGCGCCCTGGTGAGGGGACCCGGGGCTTCTTGGGAGGCCTGAGGGAGAGGACCGGCTCGGGGGGCGGGAGGACGGAGGGAGGCCGGGAGCTCGAGGCCAGTGGCCGCCGCCCCGCCGGCGGACCCCAGGCTCGAGCCCGTAAACCCCTCTCCTGGAGGGGCCTCCCGGGAGAGAGGACAGAGGTCCTTCCCCGGCCTGACAGCCAGAGTTCCCACCGCTCCCTTGGCCCGAGTCTTCACGAGTGGGGGTTGGGGGGAAGTCTCTGGGGCCTCGATGGGCGCAGGGCTGGGCCACATTACCGGCGTTGTTGCAGCATTTCCTCTTTGCAAAGTGCTAGAATGAATTTCCCCTCCCTTCGTGGAATCTCGTTTTCTTCATTTGTGTACACTTTTGTGAGGTAACTCTTTCCTTTTGCAAATGAGACAGCTGAAGGAAACTTATGCTTTGTAGGCATGTATCCCATTAAGAGGAGACTCTTGAGTCCCTGGTGTATTTTCTTACCCTTCTTGCCCCACTCCTCGCAGTCATTGGTTTCATACCAAGGTCGCTTCACTTCTGGCTGCAGAACAATCCTGAGTAGTTCTTAAGGCCTTTATTGGCCATAATAAATATGAAGTTAATAGTTGTTTATGGGGCCTTTTTCTGAGAGGAAAAGTCGTGGTAAGTGTTTACCTGGATGACCCGTTATTTGATTAAAGAGACTTGGGAAGGAGTTGTTGGTATGAAAAAAGCCTGAAATTTACCTTCAGGTAGAAATTGCTAAAGTAAGAAACTCCCAAAGTGACACCAATGTGTACAGTGCTTTTTGTTGGAGGAGAATGAATCTTTTTCAAAGTGATTGGTAGCCTCAGTCACAGCTACTAAGGAATGTGGATTCTGATGAAGAAGCCTTACTGTAAATCAGAATAGCTAATTCAGTAAGTCTTTACTTTTTTCCCCCTAGAAACATCCTCTCACTTTTGCAGCAAAGTTTGACTGGAATGCCTAAGGTTGGCATAAGAAATTCATAGTTCAATCACTTGACCTCCCTGATTTGGTTTGTTCTTCACATTTACTGTATTGTCTATTCCTAGTACCTCACTCCTTGGGGACTTGACTGTTTTATACAAGTTTTGTCTGTGGTTATTCAGTGTAGGTTAGTGTGGCCCAACTAAGACCTGTACTGGCTTTGTGATGTTGGACAAGTCTCTTAATTTTTCAGTGCTCCAAGCAGATCTACTATTAAGTTGCAGAGAAGGTGCAGCCCTGCACTGGAGGAGTAAATTTCCTATGTTGATATAATCACAGGTTTGGTCTCTATTCCTATCCTATTGTGACTAAAAGGTATACCTTAAAATTTGTAAGAATATGACGCTCCTACAGCTAACAGTTGGTAGTATCATGGTGTATCAGAAAGATCTCTATAAGACTTAGAGCCATACAACCTAGGTTTGGCTCCAATATTTAATGCCCATATAACTATGGATAAGTCATGAAACTTCTCTAAACCTAAGATTTCTCATTTTTAAAGTAGGGGTGTTCACATCCTCTGCCTCATGTTTAAGCATTATAAAAATTTGTTGGTGTTATTACCTATTCTTTATAAGCTCTATAAATATATTATTTTTAAGGGACAACACTTCTCAGCTCAATGATAATGCCCTACTCTTGAATAAGTCTTGACAATGCACATAGTGTTTTCATATGCATGAGTCCATTTGATACTTTTAACAAACTGTTAAAGATTATTCCCATTTTACAACTGAGGAAACTGAGGCTTGACTGAGGTCACATGTATATGTCTGCTGACTCATAGACTTGTGCTCTTTATAGTATGCTACACTGCCTATGTCCCAATATATAGTCCCATTGTCCCCTGAAACTAGAATGAGACAGTTATAGAAACTTATCAAAATTTGTAGAATCTTGTGGGGTTAACATCAAAAGTGAATTGCAGAAGTATGTGGATTGTGTTCCAAAGCAGAAATTGTTCCAGTTAGTTTCATCTATTCTTCTTCATTTACTGTGATGGCTTTGAAAACCTTACTTGTATTAAGGTGTTCAAAGCCCTTCTTTGCCCAGTGGTAGGTATTAAAACAAGGTATACCTTCAGCAGCTGTCATATGATGGCATCTATCATATTTAAAATTGAAGGCATTCTTCCATAAACTATTTAGTGTCTTTTCTAAAGACTACATCTCCCATCATGCACTAAACCGTTCCAGGATATTGGGTGTGGATTCTTGCTGTGGTGTCTGTTTTTAATTGGCTTAGAAGATAGTATCAGAAAAGATAAATTTTGTGTATAACTTGGAGTTCCCAGTTCTATGGGAGATCAAATAGGATAGTAACTGTAGTGTTTCGCAAATTTTAGTGCTATATTAATGTCAGCTATTATTTTATTATTACTAAAGGCTAAAAAGTTTGTTAGCAGAGTAAAATAGGCTTATTTTGAGCAAATGCTGCTTTATATTTTGAAGCGCTTTCTAATTCTAGTGCAGTTGTATCATTATTTTGTTGATTTCTCATTCCCTTCCCTTATCTTTTAGTTTCTTCTCACTGAATGGCATTGGCATTATTCCTAATAAAGAGGTATAGTAACTGTATTGAGAAGGTAAGGGTAAGGTACTATTGAATTTTTCTTGTATCATTCTTTCTGTTTCTGTAAGGAAATGAATATCTATTTAAATTTTCTTGAAAAATTAGGGCTAAAAAATAGGTATTGGTAGCAATTGAAATGATTTTCTGTTATGGCCTCTAATGTGACAGATACGTTGTTTGACCTCTAATGGAAACTAAACATGCAAAGAAAGTTTTTGAAAATTGGAAAGTTAAATATATTTATATTATGTCACTTGGAACAGTGGAATGTGCAATGTATTTCTACTCAAGGATTTAGATTTACATCTTGGTTATTCCTCTTGCTACTTGTGACATTTGTTAAGTCACTTTGAGTCTCCATTTCTTCATTTTTAATGCTTTGTTAAATGAAGTCATTGACCTCTGATGTCCTTTGATGGTCCCATGATCTAATGCCTTTGAACAAGCTATGTTCATTGCTGCTGTAATGCCCTAACTTTTTTTTTTTTTTCTCATTTAGAATAACATGCTCCATCCTGTGAATCCCTACCTGTCCTGTTCAGGGCCCAAGTCCCACTTCTCTGCTAATCCTTCATCAACTAAGTCTTTTCTTCCTTTTCTGAACAACATCCTATAACACTTATTGATACAAAGTATAACCAGTGAAATAATAAACATTCTCTGTAGTAGAGATCTTGGGATATTAGTGGCTCATAATTCAGAGATCTAAATGTTTGCAGATAGGTAGACCTATTTTTTTGATTGAAAGAACCTTTTAAAAATCATTAGAACTATTAGATTTGACTTGAGCTAAACAGAATAAATGAATCTGTGGTCAAGAAGGAATTTTTAAAGGTTGGCAAAACCATAAATGTTTTACTTGTACCTTCTCAATTACATGTAATATAAATTAACTTTTTTTTTAAATTTCAAAATGAACTATGTTGTAGTTGCCTCCATCCCTTGATTATTTGTTTTGTTTTGTTTTGTTTTTAAATGGGATAGTGGGGTTAATTGACTTGTCCAGGGTCACACAGCTAGTGAGTGTTATGTATCTGAGGTCATATTTGAACCCAGGTCCTCCTGATTCCAAGTCCGGAGCTCTATCCACTGCGCCACCTAGCTTCCCCCATCCCTTGTTTAGTTAAGAATTCTTCCCCCAGCTGTGCCTGTGAAAAGGCCTGATTTTATGTGACCTTTAATATTTTGCATATACTTTTTTGAGCTCATTATAGTATGTGATGTGATATGTTGATCTAAACTTAATTTCTGCCAAGTTACTTTCAAGTTTTCCCAGCAATTCTTGTCACGTAGGCAGTTCTTCCCAAGTAATTCATGATCTTGGGTTTGTTATTTGTTAAACTCTAGATTGACATTAGTTGTTAGTGATTCTTCCTTGTCTAGTCTAACATGTGCCTTTTAAGTTAGCTTATTCTAGTGGGAGTTGATATTTGGTTATTTAAAAACCCATTTTCAAAGAATATTTATCCCTTAGTTGGTTTTAATTATCCTAAGTGGTTCTCAGAAGGCATTTCTGGCAAATGTAATAAGATCTGTACCTTGGAGGGATTTGTTATATGATCCAGTTGCATAATCTCATATATCATGTGCTCTTAAATAAAGTTTCATGATAATTTTTTTCAGTAGTGTTATTGCTGATGGAGATACATCTTTATGTGATCTCATTTGCATTTGAAGTACAGCCTACGTATTTGAAAGGCAAGGTGAATCATGATTTCTTTAGTGATTTATAGGCAATTGAGGCTAGTGGTGGTAATCTTGCCTCCCTTTACTGTTTTTGCTTTCCTATTTTTCTAATTATTTCTGCTCTTAGTATCAGGGGAAATGTTAGAATATTATCAACTTCTCTAAGTAACCCCTTGGCAATTCCATTGACTTTTGATGTATTGATGTTCAGCTGATTATGTTAAGAGTTTAGTAGTATACCTTGCTCCTCTAATTTCATTGTACACTTGGGGGTTCTATGAGTGCTCTTGGGGCAGAGGAGCAGGTGTTCTTAATAGCTTGCTGGACAGAATTAGCTGACAATACAACCTCCATGATCATCTCTTGTAGCCAGGTCAGGTGAGCAGTGTAGATCTGAAGTTAAGAATTGCAGATTCGAATACATTGGGCATTTTTTAATGCCATGCTGAAGCCCAATGGAGAAGGAAAAGGCTGAGTGTTTATTGCTAGCGTAAATATTTGTTGTTGAAGTCTATATGTGAATTGAGGAAGTGGCAGTGGTGCAGAACAATGATTCTAGAACCCAAATTCAGGCAAGTCACTTAATCTTTCTGGACATCACTTTTCTTATCTTTAAAATGAGGAAGATATGACCCATAAGGACCCTTCTAGCTCTAGATCATCTCCAATTCTATGAACTGATTATAATGTGCCTTAATTTTCTTTTTCCTTAAAAAAAAAAAAAATCATTGTACCTACTAACATGATGCATGAAAATAAAAGGTCTTTACAATAATAATAATAATAATCTTTATGCCTCCATCTTAGCAGAAAGTTTTCAGAATGGGAAAGTAGTGGCATTTACTTATCAGGAATGGCACATTAAGGTGTTTAGACTTGGGAATGTACACCCTCATTCTGGAAGTTCTTTATAAGCCAGCTTGGTTCTTTTCATTGGGAGATATGCTTGATCTCCCAATTTTCATGTGAATCCTCTGAGGAGTGGTCCTGATTTTGTTTCTGCTTATTTGCAAGAAACCTCTTGATCCTGAAAATCTTGTGAAAAGACATGGTGAAGACTTAGGATGGCCATACTGTGCTAGTATAGTGTTGGAAGGAGCAAAAGAAGGCTAGTGCCTTAATTTTCCCTTTGTGTCCATTATTTTCTTTTCTTTACATTACCTTGTTTCCCAGTACTTACTCAGCTCAGGGAATTCTTTGCTACTTTATAACTTTTATACCCCCATTCGATCCTATGGCATTGATTTCTTTGGGCATTGCTTCTGGTTGTTCCTCATTCCTAGAATACTCTGCCTCTTGATTGCTCTGGCTTCCTTCAAGGCCAAACTATGTAATCCTGTCATCTTCATTATGTTCATCATATATTTGCCTCTTTTTACATCATCTTCAGCATACATCTTCCTCCACCTTCCCTACCCAGAGAACCATCCCCTATAACAGAGTGGGAAAATAAAGGGGAGAAAAAAAGGCATTTCAGTAAAACTAGTCAGCACATCATTGAATTCTAATAATATTTTCAGTGTTCTTGACTTTTAAGTTTTTTTCTCTTAATTTTCTTTGTAAGAGAACATGCTGCTTTTGGTCTTTGCCGCCATTCCTGTGGTATTATCCTTGAATTAAATTTAGCCTTTTCCCTCTGGGAACTCTGCTATACTCTAAGAGTAATGGTATATTTGGGTAATAAAACTATGTAGTAAATTACTCTAATAGTTTGTGGAACCTTCTAGTGGTTGGAGATTCTTATTACAGAACAAAGTTAATAAATGATAGGATCATAGGATTTAGAGCTGGAAGGTGTTGTTTTTCATTTATGTCCAACTGTCTGTGACTCCATTTGGGGTTTTCTTGGCAGAGATATTAAGAGTGGTTTGCTACTGCCTTCTCCAGCTCATTTTGCAATGAGGAGCTTTTGTTCTTTGAAAGAGTTAAGTGACTTGTCCAGGGTCACACAGCTGGTAAGTGTCTGACACTCAGACAAACTGAGACCTGGGAAAGACTTAGCTTAAAAAGGCCAAGGTCTCCCATTGGATCCAGATGGCTCCAGAGGAGAAAATGAGGCTCCTGACTTTACACAGCTCTGCCTCACTTAAATCCAATTCTCTTACAAGTCATGACATCACCTTCCTGCTGTCATTGGTCCTCTTTGAGAACAAAGGACAAACAATAGTCTGAGGCCACATTTGAACTTGGGAAAGGTGAATCTTCCGGACTCCAGGCCTAGCACTCTATCCACTGTGCCACCTGGCTGCCCCAGAAGATACCATAAAGATCATTGGATCCAACCGTCTCATTTTAAAGAGGAGGAAACTGAGGCCCAGAAAGGTTAAGCGTCTCATCCAAAGTCACATAGGTAGTATGGCAGAGCTGGTATTCATTTCCAGGTCCTTTGACTCCAGATCCAGTGCTCTTTTACCATACTACATTGATCATGTTGAACATTGGCTATTTCTGTTTTAGGTGTGGACATTGTAAGAGGCTTGCCCCAGAATATGAAGCTGCAGCAACCAGGCTGAAAGGAATAGTTCCTTTGGCAAAGGTGAGCACTACTGGATTCTGCAATAAGTGACTTTGATGACAGTATGGACATTGTAGTCCTTTGGTTCTAGGGCTGTGGTGCTAGGGGATGCCATTTTTATTCTGCCATCACCTCAGTACTCAGACATTCACAAGATTATCGCTGATTGTGATCCATGTTCCCTAGGGAGCTAGGGAAGCTACAGTGACTCATCTGGATAAGAGCACTCTTTCATCATATAATCACAAAAATGGTGTAAAGGAAAATGATTTACTATAAATTGATGGTAACATGCTACCCCTAATTTTGTGTTCTGAATTTGAGGCGTCAGCAAAATCGTCTAATAAATGTTAGAATTATGGAAAATAAATAATTGTTAATTATGTAAAGGACCATAAAATAAGTAAATAATAACTGTGATGAGAAAAGGGTTTGTAGTTCAAGAGCACAGGAAAATTTCTTAATCTGACTGAGGGAGCCAGGTAGCACCAAATAGAAGAGATGTGAAACATGTGTTAGAGCATGAGGAGAGAACAAGTTCCCTGGAAGAAAATGAAGGTAAAAATGGCAGGGTTAGAAGGACACTAGTATGAAATGGATGTTATCCTTTCTTCCAATCACTACTATAAATTAAATAGGTGCTACAAGTCGGAGAAGTCGGGAAGTAAGCAAGACTACATCATTCATGGTGACAGATGGTTGTTAAGAAATAGAATAGCTCAGTGATAAGGGTAATGTACATACATATATCAGAATGTACTTATGATCAGTACAATGATAGGTAGACTTGATTGTGTATTTCACAATAACATTTATGTTAAACTTTTTGGATGTTAAAATTTTTGATGTTTTCATACTATTGTCACTTACTCCTAGAATGGGGTAGAGTGGTTAGTAAGTCATTCTGTAGCAAATTCACGGCTCCTTTGATCTAATGGGCAGCTTACACATCTATTGACTTGTTTTGAGTATTTAACTTCTGTGGCCAACCATATCAAATTTAGCATCAGATTGAAAGGATTGACCTAGTAGCCTTTACCCAAACTAAATGAGGAGTGTAGATATTGACCCTTTAAACACTTAAAGGTGAAATCTTAACCAGAAAACAAAGGCTCTACTAAGTGAGGTAGCTCAAATTGACTTGTTTGGGGGCGGAGGGTAGTTGTGGTTTTACTTTACTGAATTTGTTATAGTTGCATTCAAATCAAATTTAAACTAGTTAAACATATATTATGGCAACTATCACTTTTAATCACTGAAGATAATATAGACTAGACTGCACATAGTTAAAGAATTAAAATAGTAGTGCCCTTTTGTAATACTTCCTAGATAAATTGAACTTGTCTAACCCTGTTGTACCTGACCATCAAATCTTTGGGGATTCAGAGCTGGCAACAGGTTTTTGTTGTTTTGTTTTGTTTTTTTCTATTAAAAAGATATTTGATATGTTTATATTTTTAGGTTGACTGTACTGCCAACTCAAATACTTGTAATAAATATGGAGTCAGTGGCTATCCCACCCTGAAAATATTTCGAAATGGTGAAGAATCAGGTGCCTACGATGGCCCTCGGACAGCTGGTAAGGGAATTGGACTTCATTCTGATAACATTTGTCCTTACTGTGCCTGTCATTAAATTTTCTTTTTTTTCCCCCTTGGTGGAAATTTACTTTACTAGCTATATTTTCTCAAGCTTGAAATCTCCATATAATTAAAATTTTACTAAGGTTCTTACCAGTTTTTTGCCCACTGCCTATTTTCAAAGTTTCGGTGTTACAGGGCATACATACTGACACACTAAAATCTCCTAGAATAAACATGGGTGTGGGAAGTGCTTAAAGTTAAGTTTTAGGGATGCTCTTAAAATAAGAACCATTTTTCTCTGGGCCATTTCAAATGAGCAAGGACTATGAGTCAAAGAGGACAGCTGAGCTTTTGAATCTGAAGTAGCAGTGAATTTTTCTGTTGTGGGGGTACACATGCATGCGCGCACACACCCACACACATACACACACACACCCTTTCCTCATGTAAAATTACGATAATAGACATACTACATAACCTAAAGTGTTAAGATCAGATGAAATGATGTATATAAAGGACTTTGTATGCCATGCAGTGCTATATAAATGTTACCCATTGTTATACATATGTCCAAACTAAGACTCTTAATTCTAAATGTTTAAAAAAGGGGGAAATATTTAAGTTAGCAAACATTTATGATTTTCTCTTAACTCCTTTTAACATTTTTAAACCCCGAATTAAGTTATCTTCCTGTTTGGGCAGGCCCCATTTGCCAAATCAAAGAAAAGAGTCTGGTTAGATTATAGCTTGACTGGTATTCTTGGGTGTGTTGTAAATTTATACATACATACGTACTTACGTACATACATACGTACACACACATACATACATACATACATACATACTCACTCCCCCCAAATCTACTTTTAGGGATTGGATCTGTTGGGCACCTGATTTAGAAACTTTTTAGTTGTTATTGACATTGTCGTTGTTTATTAGCTCTTAGACACTCAGATAACTACCCAGCTCCTTGGGTACTTAAAGAATCCTCTTTATTCCTTTTAAGATAATTTTAGATCCTAGAAGAAAAGATAATGAATACTTGATTTGGATCTGAGCAGGCTATTGTGGCATTTCTGTTTTCAACTGCCTATTTAATTATCAGCCTTTTACCATATATAACTATGTGATCTGTGTTTTAACCCACATTTCTGAATCTCCCTGTAATAATAAGCCATATTACTGTTTTATTGCAATATTAGACATGATCCATGATATCTTTCAGTGGATCTTAAATCTGTCCTGAAGAATTAGGCACTCAATGAAGTTTCAATTTTAATAGAAAATGGTGTGCTTAAACTCATTACTTTGCTGTGGACTTTCATCTTGTCTTCTAAGATGGAATTGTGAGTCATCTGAAGAAGCAGGCAGGACCTGCCTCAGTTCCTCTCATGAGTACGGAAGATTTTGAGAAGTTCATTAATGACAAAGCTGCTTCTGTAGTCGGTAAGTAGCAAAAAGTTGGTCAAGGAACAAAATCGGTCAAAAACCACTTACTGAAGAGGAGCAGCAAAGGGAATAGAGATAATGAAAGTTCTAGTGCTTGTTTATTTGATGTACAAACTTCATTTCAGTCTAGGTATCAAAACAATGCCTTTAGTTTCTATTGCTTTTTCAGGCCTCAAGATTCAACTTGTTTAATAAGGCAGTTAAGATGATTTAAGGCTAATCAGCTCTCTGTAATAGGAAAACTTTAAGTGAATGTATAAGGCAATAGTTCCCTAATCCTGATTCCAAGGGCTATTTGAATAGCTCATGTTTTAAAAGTTGCATTCAAAGCAAAATATGTATACTCACCATCTAGCATAGGACACTGGTACATGGAAAAGTTAGGTAAAAATAAAATTAGTGGCCCGATATTTGGGCAGGGAAGAATGGATACTATGGATGAATAATTTGAGAATATCTTACATTTGTGTGGCACTTGAATAAATAATCCTGTGAGGTAAATAAAGATGGCAAAATGAGGCATTGGAGCACAGTATGACCCTAAACTAGAAGCAAAGAGACCAAAATATTTCTGTTTTTGCCATTTACTGGCTGTATGACCATAATAGACCATTTAACCTCTCTATTTTTTTTTTTTTTTTTTTTTTTTTGCTTAGACAGTTGGGGTTAAGTGACTTTCCCAGGGTCACACAGCTAGTAAGTGTCAAATGTTTGGTCTGAGGCCGGATTTGAACTCGGGTCCTCCTGACTTCAGGGCCAGTGCTCTATCCGTTGCACCACCTAGCAGCCCCTCTCTATTTCTTTTTAAAATGAAGGGGTTGGAAAAGATTTTCCAAAGGTTCTCACCCTAAAATTCTTGCATTCAGTTTTGAAGGATAAAAAGGTTAAATAACTACCCAAGTTACTTAGTATAAGTAATTAGAGGCAAAGCTGGGAATGGAATTCAGGTCTTGATTCTCAAAGTTCAATGAAGTTCCACTCGACCACACTGCTTATATTTGGCTATGCTTTGAGCTTGACTGATCATGTGATGTCTAGTTACCTTAAACAAAGAAGCTTAATAATAATATTTTAGAACTAAAATGGTTCTTAGAGCTCATCTATTCCAACACTAATAGGGAACTCAGGCTTAAAGAAATAAAAAGTTAAATAAACCATTGAGGAAGCTGGAACAACTTAGGTCTTTTGGTGCCCCAGACTAATATGTACCTGGTGGTTATCTTTAAAAAAAAAAAGGAGGGGGGCAAAAAATAGAGTCCCTGAACTTAAGGAGCTTATATTCTAATGGAGGAGACAACATGTAGATATAAAGTATATACAGAATAGATGGAAGGTACTCTGAGAGGGGAAAGCATTAGTAGCTGATTGGGGAAGTAGAACTGGGAAAGGCCTCCTGGAATAGGTAAGATTTGATCTCCCTTTTGAAAGAAGTCAGAAAAACTTAAGAATTGATATTGAAGAGGAGTGGTACCTAACCAAGTGGCACAGCATTCTCAGCTGCTTCCCTTTTGTAGTTTTAATCTTCTCAGGATGTTTGAGATTGTTCAAACATGATTTTATCAACTAATTGGTTATTTGATAGCATACAGAACATTCTGGTTCTTTGTGCCTGTTGGGCCACAGATGAATTCAAATGAAGAGAAATTCTGGGTGAGGTTTTATGGATTCTGTGTGCCTATCTTAGAAGACAGTGGCTAGACCACAAATGTCGGTGTTGTACACATAATGATTCATTGTAAAATGTATGTATAAAGAGACAAAGGCATTAAAAGCAATTTTGTGGATTTTTGGATGTGACTATCAATGTAAACCTTAATTGTCTACAACGGAATTAAATCTTTGAGCATGTTATCTTATCCCTTTTTTGAAAATGAGAAGAAATTCTAAATTAGGAGATTTTTTGTTTTTGTTTTGTTTTTTTTTTTGGTGAGGCAATTGGGGTTAATTGACTTGCCCAGGGTCACACAGCTAGTGTCAGAGGCTGGATTTGAACTCAGGTCCTCCTGACTCCAAGGCCAGAGCTCTTTCTACTGCGCCACCTAGCTGCCCCCAGGAGAAATTTTTATAGTGCCCCTCTTGATGCGTTTTTTGTTCTCCTTCCTATATAGGTTTCTTCAGAGACTTGTTCAGTGAATCTCACTCAGAGTTCCTAAAAGCAGCTACAAACTTGAGAGAAAACTACCGATTTGCACACACCAATGTTGATGCCCTGGTGAGGAAGTATGATGCTGATGGAGAGTAAGTAACCTGAGGAATATAAATCGTTAATTCTGATGGCAAAGGTGTTGACACTGTGTAAAATTTCATTGTTTGGGGTTAGTTTTTCCAGATGAGGTGAGGTTGTATAGGTAAAAGTATTATTAAGGAGGTTGAAATCCACTGAACTTTGATCATCACATCACCAACAATTCTTATACATAAGCCTATTATCTCACTGGTTGTGAGTGCCCCTTGTACTTGCTATATAGGTATTTATACCCTATGTAATATCTATCAATAGCCTCTCTCACCAGGACATTTAGTGAGAATACCTTACAATGGGGTGGATGCCTTTAAGTATGGAAGATGAGAGGTTAACCTTTTCAGGGAAGAATTTTATTTTCAGCCCTTTCTGCACCAAATGTTTCTCACTGTGTATAAACCAGGCTCTAGAAAATTGTTTAACTTAACATTTGGTGGAAGCATATGTCGATTTGTTTAGGGTAATACCTGCTCTGAGGTGTAAAATTCTAACTTCCTATGGTTCTCAAGCACTAAGCTAAAAGATTTTTAAAGAGGATTGTTAATTAGTGTTAAATTTCTTGACTTGTTTCACCTATGTATATGTATCCATGACTATGTATTACCTTTAGTAAACAAAGGTTACTGTCTGCAAATATATAGAATGGGGTTTTGTAGGTTTGGAAGTGATTAAAAAGCTGGACCCAAAAAGTCATCCTTGATAGTAGTCAGTTTGGGAGAAGGTCTCAGGGGGGTCAGTGTTTGGCTTTGTGCTGTTTAATATTTCTTCCTCTCTTAGAGGTGTGGCATAGTGGATAGAAAGGTGGCATTAGGGAGACATAGGTCAAATCCTGACTCTTGTTCCCTGCCCCGGCCCCCCTCTCAAAAAAAAAAAACCAAAACCCAATTACCACACACTGGTGTCCTAGAGAAAAGTATAGATAGTATGCTCACTAAAGGCAGGATTTTTTTTCCCAAGTGACGTGATTGCTGAGGTTGGTAATCGGTTATTTTGTTTCAATTTAGATGTCATGTGAAAAAAGCCAACAAGGACTTATTCAAGGGCAAGGATCTACTTGTAGCTTATTTGATAGTGGATATATTGAATGACAGGATCCAAAAAGGATCTTGACTGAGCTAGAATGTTGGATCATATTTTAGTAAGATGAAATCGTAAAGTTTATTTTTTTTAACCCAACATAAAATGGGGAAGATAGAGCTAGGCAGCAATTTGAAAAAGCTAGTGAATGTTCATTGTGCCTCAGAAGTGTGGTATGGCAACAAAAAAGCAACACCAGTTTATGGGGTCTTAGATTACATAAATAGTCATAGTGTCAAGGACTAGAGAAATGGTAGTCTTGACCTGTTCAAGAGTATTGTATTCAGTTCTGGAGACCATATTTTAAGGAGGACATTTCTAAACTAGAGGGGGGGTGGGTCATGTTTAGCCTAGAGAAGAGGGGATATCGTCTATAATGATTGTCATGTAGAGAAGCAATTAGAATTAGCTCTGCTTGGCCTCAGATAGTAGAACTACAAGGATATAGATGCCAATTGTAGAAAGGTAGGTTCAGGTTTGGTGTGGGCAAAAGCTACTGATTAGAGCTACTCAAAAGTAGAATAGGCCTCTGAGGAGTTAGTGAGTTCTTAGTAACTGGAAGTCTTGGTTTTTTTGGGGGGGGGGGGGGGGGGGGGTTTTTTTTTGGGGGGGGGGTGAGGTAATCGGGGTTAAGTGACTTGCCTAGGGTCACACAGCTAGTAAATGTCAAGCATCTGTGGCCTGATTTGAACTCAGGTCCTCCTGACTTCAAGCCAGAGCTCTATCCACTGTACCACCTAGCTGCCCCCCAGTGGAAGTCTTAAAGCACAAACTGGATGATGTCTGATTGGATGTATAATAGAAGGGCTAAGATACAGGTTAGATTAGATGAGTTTTGAAATTTGGGGCCCTGGAAATAGAAGTCAAGGAATAAAAAAAAAAAACTTGGTGTGAAAACTGGAAGTAAGTTTAGATTTATGTCTCAGGAAAACTAAGACTAAAACCTTAGCTAAATTGAGAGAAGGAGGGTAGGAATGAGAGAACCTGGTTCCTAAAATGACCAAGTGAACCATAGGAAGCTTCGGTTAGACCAAGAATAGAAATACAGTATAAAATCGAAAAGTTAATACTGAATTTCTTGATAGCCAGATAATTGGGTTATGGAACAGAGGAATCTTTTAAGTTGAACCTAGTAATTATACTTTGTGCCTATAATTGCCAACCTGTTTGTATCCTGATTATAGTCACACCTGTGATCTGCCACCGAGGAGAATTGAAAGGAGACAAAGAAACTATGTTCTTAAAGCCATATGCCCCAGGAAATAGTCCCCAAATCCTTGAGTGTGGGCAGCAAAAGTGGTCAGCCTGGTTTTGGTTTTGGTTTTTTGGGGTTTTTTTGTTGTCACCAGAGATGGTTGCAAAGCTGCTGTATTCCATCCTAGAGTACCTTTTACAATAAGTACAGCCTAGGAATAAAGCATTTTTAGCTTACCTAACTTATTTGCTTTGATATTGTTTTCCTCTCAGGGGTATCACTTTGTTCCGGCCTCCACATCTGGCTAACAAATTTGAGGAAAACAGCATACAGTACACAGAGGAAAAAATAACCAGTGGCAAAATTAAAAAATTTATCCAGGAGAACGTGTAAGTACTGTCTTCATACCTTGATTCAGGTGTCTTGGCTTCCACTCTGCTATTGTAGTCCAGTCATTCGACAATGCTATCTCTAGACTTGCCACGTCTAGGCTTTATGTAATAAAACTCACTTGGACTTCAAAAGAACTTTAGCAATAATAGTTCAAGTCCCTATGAAGCCAACAATATATAGACCTTTGTGTGGTCCAGCATATACTACCTGGTTTTGTTTAGTTTTCTTTTTAAAAAGTTTTTACAAAATAAATTCCTGCATTACTTGTATCTCCCCCAAAAATATGCTAAGCAAAATAAATTCTGAGATATTGCCAATTTTGAATGTTTTAGTTTCTTTCCAAGTGATGCAACTATCCAGGTTGATAATGGATTATTTTATTTCAGTTTTGGTATTTGCCCTCACATGACAGAAGACAACAAAGACTTATTCCAGGGCAAGGATCTACTTGTGGCTTACTATGATGTGGACTATGAGATGAATGCTAAAGGATCCAACTACTGGAGAAACAGGTAAATAACAAGAAATAAATGGGATCATATTTCCCTCTCTCCCTTTTTTTTCTTTTGAATGTATCAATATATGGATATGTTTATATAATGACTCCACAACATTTTCTGTTAAGATTAAGGTGCCTTTAGGCCTTTGAGAATCACCACCAGCAATACCACTCCCCATGCCTGAGGAAACGGTATACACTGTATATGTGTGCTTTGTATGTAAAGTTGATTTCACTCAGGTGAAAAATGGGAAAGATGTGCCCAGGCAGCAGTTTGTCTGAAAAAAAACTAAACCCAGTAGGAGGTGCATCTGTCCTGTAACAGAAAGTTAAAGGTGTGTTTACATGCCTAGTTAACCCTTTTATTGTACTTTCCCCCTCAAGAAGCTTGCCTTCCCTGATGATTGCTTATAAGTGACCCTCTGAGGAAGATTTGAGTCTTAACATAGTGTAACAAAAGCCAGTAGGAATTAATTCAGCACCACAAGCTTAATAGCCAGTAGCTAACATTACATAGTGCTTATTCTATGCCAGGCACTAAGAACTTTGCAGTTATCTCATTTGATTTTCAGAATAACGCTGGGAGTTAGGTACTATTAGGTACTGTTATTACGTCCATTTTACAGGTGAGGAAACTGAGGCAGACAGAGGTTAAGTGATTTACCTAGGGTCTCTCTGACTCCAGGCCTGGCACCCTATCAACCATGCTACCAGCTGCCTTTTAATAGCAGAATTGAATGATGAGACTTAAAACTTAATAGGCTAAGAGTAGAATTAATGTATCAATCTTAAAAGAACATCTTCAAACTGTGACTTGTAGATTTGTTACTTGCTACTTAGTATCGAAGTGTTATCCTGATAAATATCTCTTGTTCTAAACAGAGTAATGATGGTGGCACAGAAATTCCTGGAAGCTGGACAGAAACTCAACTTTGCTGTTGCTAGTCGTAAAACTTTTAGCCATGAACTTTCTGACTTTGGCTTGGAAAGAACCTTTGGAGAGGTGCCTGTTGTCGCTATCAGAACTGCAAAAGGAGAGAAATATGTTATGCAAGAGGAGTTCTCGTAAGTTGACAATTTCTTTGGTTTTAGGAGGGTAGAAAAGGGAATGTGAAAACCTCTATTCTGCCATTAAGGGATTAAAAAGGAAGAGTACCTGAGTAGAAGGAAGAGTTATTTAGTTATGACTGTCACAAGTACTCATTCCCAGGCTATTTAAATAACTTTGTAGAGGCAGGATCCCTTTCTTGGTGCCTATCTTACTCAGCAGAAGCAACTTGGCAATACATATACATAAAAAGTAGCAGTTTTGCATCCACACTGTTTGAGTCAATTTTAGACTTCTCCCTACTTATCCCCTTTTTTGACATGAAGCAAACTTATTTTAAGGGCTTTGTAGTCCATTTTGACAAACAAGAGTAAACCTAAACTTTATTTTCACTTTGAGTCCATCGTTCAGAGAAGGCTAGGGGTAAGAGTCACTTAGCCAAACAAGGTAATGTGACTGGGAAATACCATTTAGCTCTTTTACATAAAAATAATTACCTGGTTTTCATTTTCCCTCTGCAAAACTTTTTAATGTACATTAGATACCCAGGAAGTAAAGAAGTGGGTAATAAAAGCCCAATTGGCTATAGGCATTTCCCTGTTCCACCTCTAGTTCCTCCACCTGTTGTGAGAGGCAGGCATGCTGCTTCTGGTTTTCTTGTTTTCTGCTGGCCTTTGAGTCAAAGCTGAAGGAGGAGTTGTCCCTGGAAACTTCTTGTAAAGCTGATCTTTGTGGTTAAAAGAGTATTTATTTTATCTTTCCATCCTTTAGCCGTGATGGGAAGGCCCTTGAGCGATTCCTGCAGAATTACTTTGATGGGAACCTAAGGAGATACTTAAAGTCTGAACCTATCCCAGAAAATAATGATGGACCTGTGAAGGTGAGAACTGTTAGGTCTGATCAAACTAATGTGAAGTTGCCTCTCCTGTTTACAAAACTATGTTGAGTATATCCAAGGGCATTGCAAGGTCACATTTATACTTAGCAGTGGAGATTTGACAATCCTCTCTAAGATCTATCCTAGCCTTGAGTCCACAAAATTCTAAAAAAGATGATCCTTACACTGAATTTATGTCTCGTTGTGGGGTCAAGAGCACACCCCCTTTCTAATGGATCAGATATTAAGATCAGGATTACAAATCTCTTTGGGATAGTTATGCTATATATATAGCACAGTATTTTTGATATTTGTTGCTGCCATGAAGCCTTCCTTTGTAACAGATATAGGCAGTATTTTTCAGGTTATAGAGATGATGTCCTGTATGAGGAATTAAAAGGACTGGGGGAGAGATTTTCCTGAGGGTTCATATATTCATGGCTGTGGATTTTAATGTTTCATGAAGATTACTCATTTGGTGGACTTGAGAGTAATTGGTAAATTTAGCAGTGATGCATCTTCTGTGAGGGGGATTGGTTCTCCACATACACTTAATCTTGGGTTTTTTTTTAAATAACTGGAGAATATTCCTTTTTTATTTTTCCAGGTAGTGGTAGCTGAGAACTTTGATGAAATTGTGAATACAGATAAAGATGTTCTGATAGAATTTTATGCCCCTTGGTGTGGTCACTGCAAAAACCTGGAGCCCAAGTACAAAGAGTTAGGAGAAAAGGTATGTTTGAGCTTTACTCTGAAAGTTGACTTTGAGCTAAAAGTCTTCACATGGGTTTAGGACTGTCCTTCTTAGCTATTTCAATGTACCTACTACCTGATAAATATTTTTTACTTATTACAACAAATATAATACTTCTTGTGACTGCCCTCTAGTGCCTCACCTTGCTGAATGACTCAAATTTTGTCTGCTCTTTCAACTTGTGTTATGTATGTTTGAATACTTCAGGCTTAGATTTAAACTTGAAAAAAGGTACCCTATAATTTCAGTGTTAGCTTAACCTGGGCATAATAGGCTCTTCCTCTAAATTAACCTACTTAGTCTATGTAATTAATTGCTCATCTTGGCCAGGTGGATTTGAAGTTTAGACATTTCATGTCTTCATTGGATGAGCTAATGAGGTGGGAGAGGCCATTGGTCTCCTTCATTTCTCTCCCTCATCCTCCCCCCCCTCCTCCCCCTCACCCCCCCCCCCCCAAAAAAACCAAACAAACAAACCAGGAGTTCTAAGCTGACATAGCTTCATTCTCATGGTTTGATTGAGTGTTCCCAGAAACCTACAGAGTGGGACTGAAGTTTTTGCTTGTTAGTCATCAATTGGAGGATCTAACAAGCTTAAAATTTGTTGTTGTTGTTTATATAGCTCAGCAAAGATCCCAATATTGTCATAGCAAAGATGGATGCTACAGCCAATGATGTGCCTTCTCCATATGAAGTCAGAGGGTAAGTGTATTGCAAATTAATTATTGGAATGAACACTTCAGTGTACTGGGATTGATAAAGATGCTTTCTTAACAGTTGCCCTGGTGTTATATTCCTGACTTTGAGCTGTATGTATATGTGGGAGACGGGATTTTGAAGAGTTTATGGTCAGTTTTCTACTTCTTAGCATCACCATCTCCCTGCTATAAATTCTTCCAGTGTTCTCATAATTAAGGCAACATTAACATACATACCAAGTCAAAACACATTTCCTATTATAGTGCTTGCTACTCTGGTTCAGAGTTCTCCATTGTATGCCCGTGAGTCTTTAAGTTAGGTGGGTTTTTTCTTGATATGGTATAACTTTGTTGCCAGTGCTTCTAGGATAAAAGACCGTGAAGAAAATCATTTCCAGGGCATGGCGTTGGGAAAGGTTCTTGGCAGTGTTTTTCTGAAGTCTAAATAACATCCTCTTCTTTCCCCAGCTTCCCTACCATCTACTTCTCTCCAGCCAATAGTAAGCAGAATCCAAGGAAATATGAAGTAAGTACCTGGAGTACTTATCCCCAAAACACACACCTATAGCCATTGTCGAAGGAAAAATAATAATACTATACTCTTCTGGTTTAGGCATCAGTCTGCCAGAAACGGTTTAATTTATCATTAATTTACATCCAAGCCTAGAAGAGTCCCCCATGTCCTCAAACATGGACTCATTGCCCCAAGAGTATTTCAGGTAACATAGGAATCTTGAAAAGTAAAAGATATCTTAAAATACAGTCTGGATTGACATTGCAGAGTTGAGCAGCCAGGTCACTATCTTCTTCCTGCATCCCTCTCCAAGAGGAATCAGTGAGGTTCCTGCTGTAGAACTGTATCAAGAATCTATATTGAAGAGGAGGTGTAATGGAAGTAGGCAATAGTTTACAAGGTCCATTTAGGAGAAAGAGGAAAGAAAATATCCTTAGATGGTCACTTGGAGGTGGGAAAAGGTAATATTTTTAATCTAAGTAAGAGGTATTTTGTTAAGTTTCTGGATATCACCCATAACCCATTCATCAGTGGAAAGCCTTTTTTCCTTTTGTCTTGACCTAGCCCACCTATCTGTCCAAGCTTTTCTCCAGGGTCTAAATAGGACTTAAAGAAAACTATTATTTTTCAATATTTCTAGATAAACTGAAAAGGTTTTTTAAAAGTGTTTCCACACTATTCACCTGAGGTCCCCTTCCCCCCCCTTAAGCTAGAAGCTCTTTTTTTTCCCCTCCACCTAAAGGGATTCCCGGTCCTGCTAGGCAATAAATTTCTTGCTTAGCTTCAAATCCAAAAGTCTCTTTGGGTTGGGAAGAAAAAGATCCTCCCTGAGGTTCTAAACAAAGCTACATTTTTAGATAATTTTTCTTTATTTTCAGGGTGGCCGTGAAGTTTCTGACTTTATTAACTACCTACAAAGAGAAGCTACAAATCCTCCTGTGATCCAAGAGGAAAAATCCAAAAAGAAGAAGGCAGAGGAAGATCTCTAAAGTAGCAGCCAAAAACAGACCACTTTGTATAAGGACTCTTTTACCAGTGATGGGGCAGTCAGTGCCTCAGGGATGAGTGGACAGCGTGGATGCCATTTGAATCCTGTTTAATTTTCTCTAAGCTGTTTCTTTAGGTGCACTGTTAATGGAAACACCAAGAAGAGTTGATATTTGTTTGTGGTTTGGGGGGATGGGGGTGGGGGAGGATTATTTGTGTTGGAGGAATATTGAAGGGAGAGGGGAGTTGAGTTGGGGGTTATTTTCTAATTTTTTTTTTGTACATTTGGAACAGTGACAATAAATGAACCCCCTTTAAACTAAGTTCTTGGGGGGGGGAGTAGGGGGATGGAGGTAACGTTGGCAGTTAGAGTGAAGCATTGCTTCATACCAGATAACTGATCTGTTGTAAAGCCAGAATTGTCCCTGTGTATACTGCCCAGATATTTTTCTTTCGATTATCAAAGATTTTTGATCCTTTTATTCATGCCCTGCTTGGGCCCCCAAGGCTAAGTTGCTATTTTTCCTTGCTACACACCTGGGACCGTTGCTTGTTTATACCTCCCTAGGGCTGCTCTTAGCCCTGAAGTATCCTGCTTTTGCAGTTCCTGAGCTTGGGTGTGGCTTTAGTTGAGGGTTTAAGTCAAACTGTTACTGGATCTGCTGACACTAATATGAGTGCAGTTCTATGCATTCTACAGCCTAGGGTGTGACACAGTAAACTCTTATTTGTCAGGCCTGGTAATGGTAGTAGTATTTTCAGGGCATCCCTTTTCCTCTTGCTATAATGTTGTATAAAAAAAGGATGTACCTAAGCGATGCATTCCATTTGCTATAGATATATGCAAATTTATTATTTTGCTGTTTTTGTGGGTAAGAGACCTAGATACCCCTTCCTCAGGTGTAGTTTTCAGATCATGCAAAAATGGTAGCTAGGGACTCCAATTTCAGGAAAGTCATTAAGTGATCAGAAAGGGAACTGGCTTCTTCAGTAACCTAGCTTTGTTTGGGTTAAGTAGATGGCAACTGTTACATCCCCTCTGTAAGGACCTGTCCCTACCTTCATAGTATTTGACAAGAGATCAGTTTGTACAAACCACACAGAATCAGTCATCATTTGTTTTCCAGCATGTTTGTAAAGAAATTCACCAAACATTCCCATGATCTCCACATGGGCTATAGTCAAGTCCTGCTCCTCAGTAGGTTTGAGGGCAAATGAGTTTGTAAAGCAACTGTTAATTCTGGTCTCTTAGGGTGATCACAAAATTAGTTTTTACCATTGTTTCCTCAGTATCCTATCTTAGAGGTGGTTTTAATCTCTTGGGTCATCAGAGTTGTGGCAAGGGTGATGAAACCCTGTAGTGCTTGGGCACAGCTGGAAAGGATTGGCATTATGCCAGCACAACCTGGATAGCAGGGGGTAATATAAATATCCTGGTAACAGTGAGAACCAAACCCCTCAAGGATTTGTAGCAGCACCTGCTGTTTCCTCCCCATCCCCCACCAGAGTCGTCAGTGAGATCAGAAGTAAGGCTGCAATGCCTAAATAATTTGTTTCACAGCCGCCCTGTTTATCAACATCTCACCAGACAGAAGGCCTGAGGCCTTCCTGGCAGCCTCAGCTGTCCCTGTTCTTCTCAAACTCCAGAATGAGGCTTTTGATGTGTGACAACTTCTGGTGCAGGTACTCACAGCGCTGTCTTTCTTCTTTGTAACCTGGACATCGCTGTAGAGACAAGGCTAATATCTTAGATAACTTCTTTGCTTCAAGTTTCCCTTTATCTACCCCTGGCCTTAATCATACCTTCCTGAACTTTCTGTATTCTTGGACTATCTTATCTTCCAGCACCTGAAACAGTAAGAAAAACATGAACAGCCCTAAGTTGACCCTCAACTTCTCTGAAAGCGAAGTAGAAAGCTTTTCTTTTTTTAACATGTTATATAATCTAGACAGACTCTCCTCCCCAAATAGTGATGCAGTGAATCAGTTTGCTAGCTAATGAGTCACTTTTTTGGAAAAAGCTTTACCTTGTGTTCAGGAGTGCCTCGTTGTACTCTCTTAATCTCCATTCCTAACTGCATGAACCTTCGGCTGACAGCCCCAACACGTGCATGTAGGGCCCGATATTCTGCATAATCTGCTTCAAAATCTTGCTCATAGACACGACACTGTTCAGTACTATGGATGGCTCCATACTGCCTGCAGAAATCAAAAAGTCATCCTCATTCAGCTGTCCCCAGCCCCTGGAAGGTGAGGACAGGAGGGTAAGGTCTCTCGGGGACAAGTGTAGAAGGAAGGAATAAGGAACTTACAGGAAGTAGTCTGGTGTTTCTCCAGGAAGCAGTGACCCTGGGCCTGGTGAAGAAACAAACTATGAAAGGAAAAGGTAATATCTTACCCTTTACACTGTAGGAAGCTTCACCCCCATAAACATTACCTGCTTGTCCTAAGGAGTTGTGTTCCCTTCTGGGACACGAATTGTGGTCTTTCTCCCACTCCTCTCCCTCTTGTGGATCATGACTGGGAAGTTCCTGTGGGGAACTTGGACCTCTGGGCCTCTTGTCCTCTGGTTCTGTTACGTCTGGGGAGGGGTGTCGCTTCTGAGAGAAGTTTAAAATCCAGATCTTCAACGCAGACTTAGACCTGGCAGATACCTCCCTCTTTCCAACTAGTTATACCATATAGTAGAATTCTGGAAGTTAATGTTTATCTCCTAAAACTCCAAGGAGAGGGTTCATAACCCTCTCCAAACAAAACAGAAAGCAGGTTCATTTAAAAGAGCAATGAAGACCAGTGGGTATGAGCCTTGGTTTCCCTATCCGTAAAATTGTGATCATGGTTGTGTCATCTGAGGAAAGTGCTCTGTAAAAGCACCATGCTAATGTGAGTTATTCAAGGTAGTATTGTGGCAACAGCACTGAATTTGGAGTCAACCTGTTTTAACTCTTGGCTTTTGTATTTACTGTCTGACTTTAAGTCACTTCTCGGGGCCTCGGGTTTCCTCTTAAAATGAGGGTGTTGAATTAGAAGACCTCTGAGATCTCTTCCAGTTCTAAATATATGATCCTGTAAATATTTACTCACCGTGTTCAAATGCCTCTGGCTGGAGGAGGAAGAGGGTCTTTGATCTGGCCCCTTTGTGGGTTGAGGGCTCTGGTCCCTACAGTGTGAGGAAGGGGGAAAGGGTGATTGAGTTGCAACTTAAATTTTAAGAATGGTTTTGGATTTCTTGCTACTGGAATTTAAGGAGGATTTGAGAGGAAGCCAACACTGCCTTCCCTTTCTGCCCCTCCCAGTTTATCCCCTAGTACCTCAGTGCCCACTGTGCCAGATGGTCTCTTGAGGATCCTGGAATAGGCTGTTCCTCTTGACTGTTCTCCAGGGGATCTGGCACCTGGTAGGGAGGTGACAGTGGCTCAGACTGGAGGCAGTAGTGTCAGTCAGGAGCCCCTGGACTCTCAGGCCTCCACATCTTTGTTGTAACACCCCATAACTACTCGCCTTACCTCTTCTACTAATAGCTGTGGTTGAGGTCCTGTATCCAATCCACTGCCCTGTTGGCTCCCTGTTTCCCTGGCACCTTCATCTTGCTGATGTCCTTGAACTGAAGATGACACTGGTACAGAATCTACAGCAGAGCAGATAGTAATTCGCTCTCGAAGAGGACCTATGCACCAAAGCAGGCCTGGTCCAGACCTGAAGAATGGAGGAAACAGGGAGCAAAGCATAATAAATCTAAAGGATTCAGCATCTTAGTCCTCAGTCTGGTTTTCTGTGTATTTCCATTCACCTGCCAAAGCGGTGGCACACAAGGTCCAGTCCACCTCTTGGCCCATCTGCTCCACATTGGGACACTATGAAAGAGAAGAGGCAGGAACAGCCAGAGCCAGGAAGTCGAAGGTACTGAAAAAATATACCCAGTTAATTGTCTACCCTCCTACCTAAAGTTCATTGCTTCGCTTGAGTAAGAATTTAGAGGACTCCCAGAGTTGGCCTATGACAAGGAACCAGGGTCCCCAGGGGACTTGTTAGTAATATCAAATGCAGCTGGACCTGAGCTCCCTGAGGAAGCACAGTCTATCTCTAGGGTCCTTCCTCACTGCCCACCCGGCCCCACGCACACACCTCACCCACCCCTTGTGCCTACACCAAAGCAGACTTTGTACCTCGATATGGACTCAGGTTAGGCTATGGGTCTATGTACATGTAATATATTCCCTAGAACAATATGTTCCCCCGGAAGGGGGAAGGTAGTGTAGTCGTTTGTGGTGCCACTCCAATTCCTCTGATAACGCTTGTGGCATAACCCAAAACTGACCCCCTACTCGAGGCCTCTTGCTCCCATACCCTTCAATACAAACACTCAGGGCCCTTCACTCACCCCTCGGTTGCCCTGGAAGGCGATCACAGGCTGGGCCTAAGGGAGACAAAGAAGGAAAGCTGAGGACCAAGAAGTGACCCTAGCCCCGTGGTCAGAAAGTCTGTGACACCTAAGTTGCTCAGAAGGAGGTCAGGGATCGGCAGAAGTCTCCAGCACCCGTGGGTTCGCAGATGAGTGAGAGGAGGGGTTTGGGAGTAGGGAATTGGTGTGTGCATTGTAATATCCAGGACCAGTGATACAGGGGTTAAAGAGCTTGGAGAGAAGCCTGTATCTCAAAGAGAGTGCAGGGTCGAGAAAAAGACCTCGGGGTGATTGGAAACCAGTCCCGGATCGACTAAGGAGGAGGGTTCGCACCTGTATCCGCTGACAGTCCTGTAGCGCACGCAAAGCTGAGTCGTTGAGTCGGAGGAGTAGGAGGCTGGTTCGTGGACCAGGAGTAAAAGAAAGCCGCAGCCTCCCGTTCAGAACTTCCTGTGGCCCCGCCATGGCGGTGATACTGGAGGCGAGAGCAATCGGGGCTGCTCCAGGACGAGGACCACTAGTATCACCACTCTGCTCCAGCAGTCTCAGGCAGCCCCACCTATTCCTGCCCAGCCCAGTCCAGCCCCTTGGTTTTTTGACTCCGCCCCTCCTAAGACCCCGCCCCCCAGGTCTCCTGGGCCGGGGTCAGCCTGGTAGAATCCCTGGTCCTCCAATCTACCCCTCTTAGTGGGTAGAGGTCTTGCACCTTTTTGGCTTGAGAATGGTAGGATCGTAGAGGGACCGGACATTCAGAGATGCTCCTACAACTAGAGGGTTCCTAGAAGGAGAAGGAAGAGAAGAGCAAGGAGGTCCTGGTAGAATCAGTTTTTTTAGGCAAAATCTACATTCCTGCCTCAGTTTCCTAGGCCTAATGTTGGGCAAAGCCGTTTAGCTTTTCTCAGTCTCAGAACTGGTTTTCTGAAGGAGTTTTTATCTTGGCACCTTACCCAAGGGATTGAGGTTGCCGAGGAGAGTGGAAGTGGTAGGTTGGGGAGGAGAGAGACTAGACTAGAGGTGGGGAAAGCACCTGAGCTGCTCAGGAAGCTAATGCCATGAGTACCCAAGGGGCTAGAACATGGCAGGCCCAGGAGTCCTGGTCTCAGCGTCCCCCTAGGATCCCAGGTGTGAAAGGCCAACAGGTCTTTTCTCTTGCCTGGCATACCGTGCTAGGTGCCGCCACCTGAAGTCCAGGAGCTGGGCTTCTTCCAAAGGCTGGAGGTGTTGCTGGGCCCTGGGGATGAGAATGGGAGGAGTTTGTCTGGATAGCCTTTCCGCCGCTGCAGGCTGGGTAGACCTGACCAGTAAGCGGGTCTGGAGTGGGCCTTAAAGAAGAGTGGCCTGGGAAGGAGACGATCTAGACTTGCTCAGGCTCCTCCCCACCTGAGACCTGTTGTACTGGCAAGGCAAGATTCAGTTTCAGCTTTCTTCGCTAGAGAACAGGCTGGTTCACAAGTGGCTGGTGGAAGAAGGGAAGGGCCCTATTCCTGAGGCAGGCCAAGAGGTGATGGTGAAGCTGTTGGGGGTCCTGGAGGACCAAAGCTTGGTGGAAAGAGACTTAAGACTGACCTTTCAGCTGGGTCAAAGGGGAGTCATCCAGGTGTGTCAAGGAGTGATAATCCAGGTGTTTTGCCTCCTGCTTTCTATATTCCCTTACAAGTACCTTCATGCCTGTTTTTCCCTGCCCTCCACCTACTTGAATCTTCCTGCCCCACCCTGTAGACGTTCACAAATTCAATTCAAAAAATGTTTCCTGTACTTGACAGTGTTAGACTCTGGGGATATAAAGACAAGAAGAAATGTTTGGGCCCTCAAGTTATATTGTTCTAGGGAGTATATAACATGTACACAAGACCCATAGCTACAATGTAATTTGTAGAGTCCAATGTATCTGTCCAATGTTGCATAGCTCTGATCTGGCATCTGAATCATAGCATCTGAATCAGGCAACTGCGTAGATAGAGTGCTAGCCTTGGAGTCAGGAAGACCTGAATTTGAATCCCACCTCAAATACTTACTAGCTGTGTGACCCTGGGCAAGTCACTTAACATCTGTTTGCCTCAGTTTCCTCAAGTGTAAAATGGAGATAATAATATCACTTATGTCCCAGGGTAGTAGTGAAGATCAAATGAGATAATAATTGTAAAGCACTTTGCACAGTGCCTAGTGAGTACTACATAAATATTAGCTATTATTATTAAAAGACCTAGAATCAAATCCCAGTTCTGCTGCTCATAGAGTATGGCCTTGAAGAGGTCATTTAATAGGATCATAGATCCAGGGCCCCAGAGGCTCTCTAGTCCAAACCCCTCATTTTACAGATGAGGAAACTGAGGCCCAGGGAAGTTATTTGTTTTATCTAAATTCACACAGGTAGTATGTCAGAGGGTGGTATTTGAGTCTGGGTCCTCTGACTTCAAGGCCAGTGATCTTTCCACTGTACTATGTAGACTCCATTTCTGGGAAATTCAGTTTCCTCATCCATATCATGAAGTAGCTGGGCCAAGATCTCTTCCAGTTCTAAATTTCTGATTCTGTGATTCTTTCAGAGCGCTTTTCTATGCTTTCCAAGGAAAATCAGGTAATTTGATAAACTAGTGTTTTTCATGGCACTCTAGTGTTTATTTTTTTTTTCATTTCAAATATTCCTTCCTTTCCTTTAATAATGTAATAGTGGTTTTCTGGAGGAAATGTTGCCACCTTGACACAAAAGAGTGTCCCTAATGGTGTGAATTTGAGGCCTGGTAGGAGAGGTGTCAAAGGAAGACATTTGGAGGGTTGACTGGATAGAGTGTTGAATTTTGGAGTTAAGGAGACCTGAGTTCAGATGTTGCCTCAGTCACTTACTAGTTGCATGACCCTGCATAACTCACTTAAACTTCTGTTTGCCTTAGTTTCCCTGTCTGTAAAAAAATGGTAGCTAGCACCTACCTCCCAGGGTTGTTGTGAGGATCAAATAAAATATCATTTATAAAGCACTTTGCAAACCTTAAAGTGTCATATAAATCCTAGGTGTAATCATCATCATCAAATTGAAATACTGACCAGTTTTTGCATTGAGGTGTGGAAGGTGGAAAGATCATCTAGATATAACTAAGGCCTTGTCATTCCCAGCAGTAGAACAAGTAATCAGGATGAACCTGGGGAAGGATGCACTTAGGAAGCATAAGTAGTTGTTTTGTTTTTTTTTTCAAACTAGGGGTTGGGGCCTGGGGAGTGGGTAGCAGGCCAGCAATGGGCTGGCAGAGGACTACAAGGGGAAGTGCCTGTCACTTCAGAGAAAAAAAATGTTACTGGAAAATGTTAGGGAAATCACTATATTGTCAAAGAACAGTACAATACAGGCTGTTTGGCATTGGTAGAAATTCTAAAGATTCTTGTGCTTTCTAACTTTTTTTTGTTGTTGTTTGGTTTTTTCGTTTATTACCACCATTGCTTTCTTTTTTTGGGGGGCGGGGTGGAAGAGAAGAGAAAGTAATAAATAAATCTATAAGACTTGCCAGTTTAAAAAAAAAAAAAGAGGGCAACTAGGTAGATAAGAGCACTGGCCCTGGAGTCAGGAGGACCTGAGTTCAAATGCCACCTTAGACACATGATACTTACTAGCTGTGTGACCCTGGGCAAGTCAATTAACCCCAGTTGCCTAACCAAAAAAAAAAAAAATGCAAGAATGCCCCAACACCCCCCTCCACCCTCTTCAACCTTCTAGCTCAAGTGAACTTCCCAGGGTGGTGCAGAGACCACTGCTATCCCTGAACCTTGAGCCTCATGCCTCACAGTCCCACAGTATGGAGCACAACTCACTCCCTCACTCAGTTCTGGGCTTCCATTCTCCATGCCCAGACACAGGAGCACTCCTCTCCCAGCCCACTTTCTTTATAGAGATGAAGACTATGTTTTCTAGGGGATGGGTTGCCCCTCCTTTTAGGGGGGTGCTACCACACCCTTCCCTACAATGTTTTCACCCAAGGTGAAAAAATTCTTTAGTTGTAACCTTGCCCTTTTATCTCACCTCTCACTTTCTTCCCTCTTCTTTTTTCCTTAATGATCCCTCTCCTCTTCACAGACCTTGGAGCTGGGAATCCTATCCAGGCTTTTAGGGGAGGTTGCTTTCCTTCTCACAAGTGACCAATATGCTTATGGTTCCTGAGGCAGGTGAGGGAACTTTCACCAGGATAGGGAGGCACATGGTAAATGTTTACTAAGCAAGGAAACCCAAGGGCTGGGCTGGAGGAAGGCCAGGGATTAACAAAGTTTTCAAAGTTCAGAAGTAGAAGTCTATGGGGTAGGGTAGAGCCAAGTATCACATTGTTTGCTCACTGCTCAGGATTGTAGACACTTGTAGGGCTTGCCAGGACACTGAATAGGTCATCCTGTCTATCTCCCTGCCTCTAGGGAGTCCTCAGTTCTTTTCCTCTACCAGACACCTAGGGATGAAGGCCATGAGGTGTTATTACTGTGCTGAGACATCTTCAGGAGAATGACTACTCACCTGAATTTCCCTTTTCTAGTGTTTCATGCCCTTTGCAGTGAGAGTGGTCTTCCTGCAGTACCAATTCCCATATCTTGTGGTATCTTACCTCACAGGGAGCCAGATGTGCGACTAGGGGTCATAACTATATATGAAATGAAGCTCCTGAAGAGTGCTCCAGCCTAGGACACTAGGGATCTGTCCCCAACCCAGTGCCTGAACCTGGTCCAGCTGTGGTGGGAGTGGAGCAATGCTCACTTGCAATGGCGGGGAGGGGAAGAGATATTCCAGGACATGCTCTGCTCTGCTACCAGTATGCTCTCCAGCTTCTTGACTCTGAGCCCCTATCCTAACCTAGCCTTGAAGAGATCCAGAGGTCTGGCAGAGGAAAGGATTAAAGAAAACAACGAGCTCCACCCCTTTGCAAAGCTCTGTGGGACTTTGGTAAGTAGTGGATAGGCTGGAGGAAGCAGTTTGCCTACGACTATGGGAGAGATGGACAGAGCTGGGGGGTGGGGCTCTTAGGGGCAAGGCCTAGAAACAACCTTTGGGAACCACTTGTCTCAGTTAGCTGTCATGCCTGTCTCTCCCATCGGTTTGACAGAGCATGGAGGAGGAACAGGAAGTATACCAGCTGGATGAGCTGGTCCGAACAACGTAACAGCAGCACAACTGAAGTGGGAGTTGTCGGGGGAAGCTCTGAGGTCCCCTGAGAAAGCACTAATCTGGGACCCTTGCAGAGTTCAAGTTTTGTTCAGGAAAGGAAAGCTGTGTTTGGGGGGCATGGGAACATATCAGGACAAAGGAATAGGGAGGATTGCTACAGCACAATCTGAGGAGGTTGGAGTGGGAAGCTGAAGTGGGAATGGAGAGGCAGAGGACTATTTCGGAACCTGAAGTAGTTCTAGCCACCCAGACCAAGGGGAAACCCACATTGAGGGCTTTTCACACTCTTATCCATATTCCACACTGAGGAAGTTCCTTGTCTATTCTTAGCTGCTGTCAGAGAATGGAGAAATCCTGCCAGCCCTGGCTGCCCTGAAGAGCACGTTGAAGCTGGAACAAGGCAGAACACCTCCTTCCCTTTGGATGTTTGCCCTCTGGCCAACTCCCCTCACTTTGGTTATGTTCTGAATCTGGATCTATCCCTCTTCTCTAGGTTCACCCCACCCCTTTGCAAAGTTCTGTGGGGGAAGGCTAAGACCCCAGAGACATCACCATGGCAATCACTGAGAAAGCAGGGCTGGGAGATGCCAGTGGGACTAGAGCTTTGTCTATGGGCTCAGAGCACCTGAGCACAGGGCTGTTTTGCTCCCTCAGGCCATCCACTTAGCACTGTCCAAGCTGGTGATACAGCAGCACAATGCAATAGTAGAGAACCTGGTTCCTTGCCCTGATGCGTCAGTTCCCCTGGCCTTCCCAGTGCCTCCCAAGGTGCAGGTCTCAGGACACATCTCCCTACCTGATCTCTCACCTGGTTGACCCATGATGTTTGGAGCTACTGGAAGTGATGACTTTAGAAATAATGTGCCCCACAAAGAATTGGAAATTGAGGGGATGCCCATCAATTGGGGAATGGCTGAACAAGTCATGGTATAGGAATGTAATGGAATACTATTATGTTTTGAGAAATGATGAGCAAGTGGACTTCGGAAAAACCTGGAAAGACTTGTATGGACTGATGCTGAGTGAAGCAGGAAGAACAAGGAGAACATTGTACACAGTAACCATCATGTTGTGTGATGACTTTGATAGACTTAGCTCTTCTCAGCAATGCAAGGATCTAAAACATCTCCAAAAGTCTCATGATAGAAAATGCTATCCACATCCAGAGAAAGAGCTATGAAGTTTGAATACAGATTGAAGCATACTATTTGCTGTTTTTTTTTCTTTCTTCTGTTTTGTTTTGTTTCTTCTTTCTTGTGGTTCTGCCTATTGGTTCTAATTCTTTACAACATGACTAATATGAAAATACGTTTAATAGGAATGTATATGCAGAGCCTATATCGGATTGAATATCATCTTGGGGAGGGAGGTAGGGAGGGAGGAAAAGAAAATTTAAAACTCAAAAGCTTATGGAAGTGAATGTTGAAAACTAAAAATTAATTAATTAATTTAAAAAATGAAATAATGTACCCCAGACTGGCTGTGGAGACTAGACAGATAAGTCTCCAGCCACCAGCCCCCAGCCTGTCAGTCTCCCCATTCCTGACTGTGAGGAGGTCCTAGTTCCCTCCCTCAATTTTCCCATTTCCTACAGAGAAGTCTTAGATCCCTTATTCTCCCTCCCCAATTCCCTTGTTTACAATCCCTATAGTGGGGTTTAGAGAAGGGGATTTCTTTGGACTCCCTTCAGCCCAGGGTCTTCCACCTTATCTAAATTTAGTGCTTTTCTTCTTGCAGACCAGCTCAGGATACTTTCACCTATGATGTCTTGTTCCAAAAGCTTTCCTGTCCCAATTCATAGTTTTCCTTTTACAGTCCAGTCCCTTTTTCTTTGGTCTCTTCCCCCTGCCCCTTAAAACAAAATAAAACAAAAACTAAAGAGTATTAA